TGTGGCAATTGTTTCCGTTGTATGCTTCCTGTCAATTCTTCTTGGATCTCAGTGAAGTGATGCAATCTGCAGGATTTGAAATCAAAGCTTGTACTTTGAAATTCCAGCAGTTTGGATCCTTGCTATATAATTCCTTTAGATTTTTTTTCATTAATTCAGGAAAATCCTGGGTTCATTGAAGTGCAGAGTAGAATTGTGTAATTTTTCAGCTTTACTGTTATCATTAATATTATTGATTGCAGCATGTCAGTCTGGTTATATTAGTTTTGTTGTTTCTGTTTAGCTGATCTTTTGTGTTTCCTGTTTCAAGAAATACATGACAGGGTTTTCTGAGAAGCAGTTTGAGGAAACAATTTTTAAAAAGGCAATTGCTTTGTTCAGTCTTACAGTCTGAAAAATATATAGGAGGGGAAGAAAAAGGGCAGGAAGGGGAGCAAGGTCAGACACCAAATCTTGAAATTAAAAATCAATTCTTAAACAATAACTGCTCTCTCCATTATGCACACTGAAGTTGTTTGTTTATTCATGTCAGAAGCATCAAATTAAAATAAGGCATACTATATGGTTTGATTCCCCCATGCATCTCCTTCTATGGCAATCTGATGAAGGTTTGCTGCAACTGGCAATGAAAAGAGCAACTTGATGGAATTGGTATAACTGAAATAATGCTTTTTGAAAATTACTGAATGGAACGTGTTTTCACTTTCTCTCACTTTCACTTTCTCAGGCATGCAGAAGTGATGAAGAAAATAATCGAAACGGTGGCAGAAGGTGGGGGTGAACTTGGTGTTCATATGTATCCTTTTTACAATCAAACTTTTTTCCATCAAAGAGGATAAAGGACTCAGTAACAATGCCATTTATTTTTTATTTAGCCAGATAAAGCACAAGGCATGAATTTCTAAGTTTTCCTTTTCTATTTATCTACTGCTGTCTTTTATCTTTATTTATTTCTATCCCACCTTTATTATTTCAAATAATTCAAGGTGGTGAACATATCCAACACACCTTCCTCCTCCTATTTACCCTACAACAACCCTGTGAGGTGAGTTGGGCTGGGAGTGAGTGACTGGCCCAAAGTTACCCAACCGGCTTTCATGGCTAAGGTGGGACTTGAACTCTTCTCAATAACTACTTTTTTCAAGTTTTAGATACATTATTTCATTCAAAAGGCTGGAAATAAGTCAAAGTAGAGATAACATTAGAAAAAGTGGATTGGTTTTTTTACATACTTTTAGTTATATGATGGGAAAAAAACACTTGTATCTTTTGACATTAATGCATGCTTTTTTTTAAAGCAGCATTAGCAAAAACAATGGAGGGTCTGGGATAGAAGACTCAAAAGAACATTTATGATGATCAGCAAATTCCTGCTGGCTTCAGTAGTAGCAATGACTGTAACAAAAACTAATTGTTAAGTAAAGTCATCTGTAGACTAAGAGGTGATTCATAAGGTATTAGTCATTAAACCATTATATCAGAGTGAATTCTAGGAAAGATCCAGATAAGGAGAGATAAACTGGTGTTTGATTTTGGAAGAAGGAAAGGATCTTTTTAGCATTATTCTCTTGGATTTCAAAGGAGAGAATGTGAAACTAATATTATACTAGGTTTATTTTCCTTAATTAAATTTCAGGTACCTTCTGATTTTTTTGAAATTTGTACAAGCGGTCATTCCAACAATAGAATATGATTATACAAGACACTTTACAATGTAATTACTGGAAATAACATTTATGGTAAATATTGGCTCTAATTTTTAAAAAGAATAACCCAACGTGACTGACTTGTTGATCCACCATTGTGTGCAATTTCTGTAATGTGTCACTCATCAAAATAAAATTCCTCTATTAGCCTTACTTTTTAATAAAGATCTTTATGTGTAAAAACAATAAATCACTTTTTTTCATTCCTGTGCTTATAGAATTGTGCTTTTCTTTTACATAATGCAAAGAATAATAAAAACATAATTGTATCAGTTGTAATATATTTCTATAAAATATTCATTATTACATAATTAAAATAACTATGTCAGCAACTACAGCTGATAATTAAAAACCCTTTAGTTTATGCTTAATTTAAGTTTATAATCAAGTAGTTTTAATCTATGCACATTTTTATACAATTTATACAAAGTCCCAATGTTCTTCTCTGAAGGAGATAGGTGGTTCAAATGTATGAAAAATAAATAAAAAATAACAAATATTTTCTTTTCTTTTTTCTAGTTTATGCAGTTAAACTAGAAGCATTTTGAAAATATTAATTTAATATCAATATGTTTTTTGTTGTAAAAATGGGGAAGGCAGGAATTAGATCTCTATATGATCTCTGTATGATTGCATCAGGAGTCAAAAACTGCCAATTGTTTTAATGAGAGTAGCAGCTAATGACTCCTTTTCCCATTCTCCATTTCCTAGGAAACGCATTAATTAAGAATATATAGGGACTTTATTAGTCCTTACATCAAAACTTCTGATTTCAGGGTTGCATTCAACTCCTTTTAGTGAATCTTTTTGTTCTAGTATATTTAGGAGCAAAAATACCATTTGGAAATTTGAAGTCTATTAGGTAACTACATTTTAATCCAATGAAATGTAATTAATTGGATTAATTTAGTAAACAAAATTTTAATGAGCTTTGAACTTTATGCAAGCATGGCCAAACAGGGTACACTAGGATCTAACATTCTTATAGTTCTTATTAGCCTGAATGGATGGAACAATGGAAGTCTAAATACATAGGATCCAGGATATACTGTAGTAGATGAGTGAAAGTATTTTTAAAGAACAGTACAAACTTAGAAACCAATCATTTCACTATAAAAACATTAACCTCTATCGTGACAGGCCAACAGGCTAAAACTGCAGTTCCATTTTCTGGAGTTTTGCTTTGTTTCTTTCTTGCCTTATAGACTGTTAAAATGAATAAAAATAAAAATGATATAGATATTAGTATTGTGAGCAGAATAATACAATGGCCCAAACCAGTTGCACATCTAAATATTCTGGATAATAACGTGTTCCAATGGTAATCAAGAAATGTTGAACTACAATTCTCATCCTCTTAGACAGCAGTGCTATACTGGCAAAGGAATGAGGGAAGTTGTCGGCTAAGACATCTAAAAAGTATTAAATGAAGGACAGCTAGCCTTTTCTCATATGTTGGGATTTAGTTCTTGAATTCCAGTGGTGTGAAAGATAATGGAAAACGTGGAAATGAGATTGTGCCCCAGATGAAAACAACCTTCGTGATTTCCATTATTTTTTCTTTGTTCAGTAAATATGTTATTGTAACAGTACAAATTAATATGTCTTCTATTTTCAAAAACTACCAAAACCCTTGCCAATTACAATTACCTCCAATTTCTAGGAGGTCTAGTCTTTTGATAATATTCGTGTACGGAAATTACAGAAGTTACTGGTTTTGTACACATTATTTGAGCCAGGTTATTGTGTTGGCTTTCTCTATTTGTATACTTCCCAAAGATCTGGATTATTTGCTACTGGTAAACATTAACTTTTCTGTTTGTTAAAATGGGGGTGGGGGAGAGAAAATAAAAGTTCAAATTTTCTTTGCATAGAACATGTCGTGCCCAAGGACATGGCTTGAACTGGTTTCTGAACACCTTAGAAAGCATCACATAATTGTCCTTTTCTATGAGGAGGTTCACTATTCAATCAAGTAAATTTGATGATTACATTGATAGAATATATATTCATATATCCAGAAACACATACCATATGTAACCAAAGTTAGAGAAGCCATAATTTTCAACTCTGGTAATAAATGAATGGTTATAACATTGAAATATCTTACAGTTAATAAATAAGTCACAGATTATTTATTTATCAAATTTAGAGACTACTCATCTCACAGAGCAACTCTGGGCAGTGTACAGTATAAACATAAAAACCATATAAAAACTATTTCGGTAAAAGGAGGCAGTTATAACATGGTAGGAATAATTAAAATTAGGATTAAGTTTAAAAAGTGGGGTGAGGGCCTTCAAAGTACCTAATCCCAAGGTTGCTTGCTCCTCTGCAAGTCCTGTGCATTAGCAGAACCAGGTCTTCAAATTCGTCTGAAAGGCCAGGAGAGTGGAAGCCCATCTCACTTCTGGGGTAGGGGGTGGGGGGTGGGGGGAGTAGGATATTCTAAAGGGCAGGGGTGTTAGCAGAGAAGACTCTTTTTGAGGATTCCGCCAGTTGAAATTCTTTAACTGATAAGAGTCGGCAACATACGTTCTCTGCCTGATCAGGTGGGACAGGTTGATGTAATGGGAGAGAAAATGGTTCTATAGGTAACCTGCCTCCATGGCATGTATGTTTTAAAGGTCAAAACCAACAAATTATATGAAGATATGTTGTCTCTGAATTTAGCAGGTTAATTGAAAGATGGCTCTAAGTTCTTCCTTAAATCAATTTCACAAAACTATAGTATTTTTAGCAGTTGCTCAGGACATTTTGCAAATAGGAGATAAAGCGTCAGGTATGCTACCTTTACAAAATAAAGGCAGGATATTATTAAGGAGAGAAGGAGGAGGAGGAGGGTAAGATAAAAATATAATTGCTGCAATAAAATATATTTTAGGCTTCTGGTGTCATCACCTCCCATCTCCAAATTAGCAGAAACAGCCAGATCTTTCCTTTATTGAGTCCTCATGTTTTTGAATAGTATGCTGTTCTGGCCTTTTAGGTTCTCAGATATTCATCCTCACAAGCTTTAGCCTTTGCCTTTGCCCCTACTCCTAATCCCTTTCTATCTACATGTGAACAGTACAAACAGGTCACCTGCTTTGCCCTAACATTGTTCAGCCTGTCTCAGCAGAGGAGTCAAGAAACCAAACAAATTCAGAAGTTGCTTATCTCAGTTGTGGGAGGAGGAAAAAAACAACGTCACTGAAGCCACTGTCCCTTGCAACACCAGCCACACAATAGATTTCTGTGGGGAAGTGGCAAGTTGCTGCAGGCAGAGCTGACTTTTGTGTGTCTTTCAGCGCATTAGCATCGATGAGAAGATACAGTGCGAGCCCTGTCCCCAAATGTCTTCTACTGATGTTCCTGGGCTGGATGGGGCTGAAGTATTATCAAGTGAATGCAGCTCAGCTTAGAGAGTACCGTATAGCTGCTCAGCTGGAAGACTGGGATTACAACCTTCAACCTGAGGAGTTATCCAGGTAACAACAAACTGGGGGCAGACTAAGGGAAGTAATGGGGAACATATTAAGATTTGTTTAATGAGCAGTGTAGTGTGGGGCATAGGGAATGCAACCTGTGTGGTTGGAAAGCCAAGTTTATTCTACTATAGTGCTTATTTAGTAATCCATGGTTAAGGAAATAAAGTATGTTGTGAATACAGCCAGTAAATAAAGAAGAGGTAATGGAATAGACGGCTTTGGATTAATTTCAAGATGAGATATGCGATGACTTTCACAGTGCTTTAACTAAGAGGCATTACTTAGCATTTTCCTTTATAATTCATATTTTCCTGTTCAATACAATGGGTATATTATATTAAACAGAGCATTCAAGCTCACGGTCCTAATGCTTACCTTCATCTGGAGTTGTTAAAATGTAGCTAGGCTTGGCTGGTCCTTGTTTTTATAGTGACAGTTTGGTTCTATGATTTCCAATGTATGTTTTTTATTATCCTTGTGTACCACTTTGTATATGTAATTCAACAGCTATAGAAGGGAAACATTTTAAATTAACAATGATAAGCACAGTTCAGGAAAAGCTTTACCATTTGATTTAGGAGATACATTTTGGTTTGCTTTATCCTTCTTTTTATAACCATTGCCAAATGTTTTCATTTGCTTAACAGCCTCTCTACTCTTTGCCCTTTAATCTCTGCATGCTTTGCAATAACTACTTATCCGATACTCCCACCACTTATTTAGTCTACTATAGTTTTCTCACTGGCCTTCTATCCTCTCAGCTTTGTTAATGTTATGCTGCATGTTAAATTTCAATAGTCCAGGCCTTATGTTAAAGTTATGAGTACCTTTTTCTCATTCCTACTATCTTCACAAACAGCTCCATTCCATTTTTGCTCAGCAGTTGTTCTGTCCTATCTAGCCCTTTCTCTTCTCTTTTATAGCTATATGTCTTATGGACTGATCCAAAAATTCTTGTATACCTTGATACAGTTTCCAGGTGTGATAGAGTCTCTACAATATTTCTGGTCTCAAACACCTGTAATTAATGAGTTTGCATCAATCAGTGGGTTGACTTCTATATATAGTTATTAATAGGACATTCCATCAGCTAGTTTCATTAAAGTATAAAGTGTTGCCACAATGCAGACTAGTGTTTAGAAGTAATGTGTAAGTGGATGGCTTACTGTAGATTAATTTCAAGGTATTGTTGAAGATCCAGATATTTACATGGCCTGATACATACAGGATTTCCTTTCTCCCCAGATATTTCCTCTTGTCAGTGAAAAACTTCATTATTTCTTGTTCCTTCATTTCATTGGATCAAGGGCATTATAAAGACATTGTTAATGTATGGGAATGTGCTTAACTTGCATAGTGAATTTTCAGCCAGAGTTGGAATATATTATTTTACTAAATTATTTTGTATGGTTTCAGATTATCAGAGTCAGATCTTGCATTTCAAAAAATTGTCTATAGAGAATATGAAGTAGATTTCAAACAAGAAAAGCCAAGAGATGAGCTCTCAGGTAAAGGCAATATTTTCAGACTATATTCAATGTATAATGTTCCTATGATTACAAACGCAAATGAACTGCAATTGTAAGCCATCCCAAGTTTATTTAATTATCCAATGCCCAGAGGTCTTGATTTATAATAGGGTAACATCTCAATATATGCAGGAAATCTCAATATATAGATTCTTGAAGACCACCATCCCCAAACAAGTCTTATTTTTCTCATTCCACCTGTCAGTCAGCAGGAAATAATAGCCACCAGCACTTGAGATAAATGCAAAAGACAACCAATAGATAAGAACACAAGAAAGAAAGTTAAAAAGTGACCGTTCCACCTCTTCCTCACAAATATACTTCATTACATTTCAGATATGACTTTTCATGAACTCACGTTCTAAAGACAAATAATAAAGGCATTCACTTATTGTATTTTATAATATGGGTAATCTACAGTTAGAGTCACAGTCAGAGAATAATGGAAACTTAATAATCGACATCCCAACCAAGGACTTATCAATTATTAAGGTAGCATCTAAGAATATGGGCAGTTCCAAGCAGGGTTTTTTATGTTTGTAAAATTAGAATGTTCAAATCTGATAAATTCAAATTTATCAGATGTCAAGGAAGCCTTTAGGTATTGATCCAAGGGCTCCAATCACAACTGACATAATAATGGATTTCTTTTTCGATAAGAATTCAATTTCGATCTGCAAGTCTTGATATTTTGTAATTTTTTCCAGCTATTTTCTCTCAATTCTAGCATTACCTGGAATAGCAACATTAAAAGATTTTCTTCTTTTCAATAACTGCTATATTAGGCACACTATGTACAAGATGCCTATCTGTTTGGATTTCAAAGTCCCAAAAGATCTTAACCTACCCCTTTTCCAAACCCTTCTCAACTTGATTGTCCCAGTACTTTTTACTACATTTAGATCCAAGCCTCTGGCAACATTTCCAATGGATAATTCTGGCAATGCTGATATTCAGTTTGTGAAATTTTGCTGCAGCCACTGGTCAATTGTTTCATCCTTTGTACAACAAAGTTGACATTTGCAATTGTTTGTTACATATTGATTTTTCACTTTCATACAATTAGTAGTCAAAGCTATTCTTGAGCCAGTAAAGTAAAGCCTTCAGTTTCTTTACACTCCTGATATGAACCATCATACCTCTCAGCAATACAGCTGACAAAGCTGAAATAGAAGGACTGACAGAGTTTGAAGTATCATTCTATGTCCATAATTCTATAATGTTGGATGGGAACCCTACCCTGCTTGTGAGTAATGTAGTGGCTGCAACATTGATTTAGCTGGGATTTCAAAAGCTTACTATGATCTAGTAACTAATGTCTTCTGGACAAATCTCTTGTGCCTTCAGTTTTGATATCTGTATTGTCTGAGCAAGTATGTTTAATTTATTTATGAAATTGGTCACACATTCTTTAATACAGATAATTCTCGACTTACAATCACAATTGAGTCCAAAATTTATGTTGTTAAGTGAGACATTTGTTATGTGAGTTTTGCCCAACTTAATGATCTTTCTAGCCACACTTGTTAAGTGAATTATTGCAGTTGTTAAGTTAGCAACACGGTTGTTAAGTGAACCTAGCTTTCCCATTGACTTTGCTTGTCAGATGGTCGCAAAAGCTGTGCACCTGACCCTGGGACACTGCAACCGTCATAAACATGAATCAGTTGCCAAGCATCCAAATTTTGATCACATGACCATGGGGATGCTGCAATGGTTGTAAGTGTGAAAAATGGTCACAAATCACTTTTTTCAGTGCCGTTGTAACTTTGAATGGTCACTAAACAAACTGTTGTAAGTCGAAGACTATCTGTGTAGCTAAAGCAGAGGACAAATATAGCAAGTTAAAGTCTTGTGCCTACTCATCCAGCCACGTTCTCTGTGATATGGCTGCTCAATTTCCCCATTCATGCATATAGGCCAATGTGCATCTTTCAGGTGAAATGATAAGCCACTATCTCTTTGCCTGAATATAATTTGTCAAGTGGATTATTTTGGAATTTAAATGTCATAATGAGCTGCTTGGAGGGAGATAAGGATAAGGATGGATAGAGAATAAAATAAACAAATCCCTGCTCAGAAGAAAATATTAAGGTATTTTTAACTATTAAAAGATAAGCTAATTCATTTTATAGGGAGGCTTCTCTGCCTTCACCTTCTGTACTTGTGCTGCAGTTTACGTTCATCCAGAAGAAAAAGAAAACCAATATTTTTTTCAAATACCATTTTTATATTTAATTATTCTCTTTAAAATCATTTATTAATGTGCTTTGAGCAGGGCTCCTAGGGCCAACACTACGTGGCGAAGTGGGAGACATCCTCATCATTTATTTCAAGAATTTTGCTACTCAGCTTGTGAACATTCACCCGCAGAGTGCTGTGTACAACAAATGGTCAGAAGGTAAACACTGCCATAATATTATCTGAATATCCTGATTATTTTTATCTTTGGTAGATTTAAAATAATGGAGCTAAATTCTAAACATGGGTAGGAATGTGCCTGTGGGCAACAGCTGGCAAAGACTGAAGCAGAGACCTAAATAATGGCCTCTGTAGCCATTATTAAATAAGAACAAGAGAAAGAGGCATAGAATTTGATTACTTTATAGATGGTTTGAAGTCTGGATTCAGGCCTAGTCCTTGACTTACAACCCCATTTTCTGTTGCTAAGTGAGACGGTTGTTAAGTGAATTTTGCCCCATTTTACGATCTTTCTTGCCACAGTTGTTAAGTGAATCTCTGCAGTTGTTAAGTTAGTGATATGGTTGTTAAGTGAATTTGGCTTCCCCAGTGACTTTGTTTGTCAGAAGGTTGCAAAAAGTGATCACGTGATCCTGGGACATGTAACCATCATGAATATGAACCAGTTGCCAAGCATCCAAATTTTGATTATGTGACCATGCTGCAACGGTTGTGTCAAAAATGTTCGTAATTTTTTCAAGTGATACTGTAACTGCAGCTGTGGGCTACGCTGTCTCTTATCTGACCATTCCCTAGGCAGCATCTCTTTGCCCAGTCTACAAGGTCACTTCCATTTTCAGTCAGTTTTGCCTCATTTATAAAACTTTAGGTTTGTTCCCCCATCACAGACACAAAATCAAACAAAAATGTTCAACATGCACTGTAAACATGGAAGGGGATGCCAACAATTTATTTCATTTTTATATAAAGTGATTCAGGACACCAAGGAATTATATTTTTGCACAGTCTCATTGATCAGCTGAAGGAGGGTCACTAAATCAGCCCAGAATATTTTATGTCTCTTTTGGGTTTGCAGGAGTGAGGATAATCCTAAGGCTCGACTATTAAATATTAATGTTAAATATTTTTAAATATTTAATATTTATATTAATTATAAATATAATTAATATAAATATACTGGGGTTGAAGAGTAGAAGTGGAGTCAAATGGAAAACCTCCTGACTGAAATATGTGATAAAAGGAGATCTTAATCCATATTTGCAATACCATTATACAATAAAGGTCCCAATTTGCAACCAGATCTGTAATATAATTAGCAAGCGTGTGTGCATGCCCACTCACATGCATATGCACATATATTTATTTTGCAATGGCATTGTTGATAATGAATCATGATAACCTCTTTCCTTTGTCATTGAAGGGTCTTCATATTCTGATGGGACATCAGATATGGAAAGACTGGATGATGCTGTGCCTCCAGGCCAGTCGTTCAAATATGTATGGAATATCACTGCAGAAATTGGGCCAAAAGAAGCTGATCCTCCCTGTCTCACTTATGCCTACTACTCACATGTAAACATGGTGCGAGACTTTAATTCTGGTCTCATTGGTGCTTTGCTGATATGTAAAGAAGGTAATAAAATGTGTTAAAGAAGCTGCAGCCTGTTCAAGTGTTAATCATTGCTGGAATTAATCTGTAATATGATATCTTTCTGTTCATTTTTGTATTTCTATTTGTTTAATGTTTATGCTTCAGAGGGGTTTTTTTTGACAAAGTTCAAAGCAGAATTATAAAGGCTATTACATAATTGGAAATTCTGCTACTTAGCTTTCAAAAGCTTATGTTGTATCCAAGAAGGTCTCTGTAATTAGGCAGGAAGAACCATATAAATGCATGGAAACAATGCTGACATGGAGCTTAGTACCACCTTCAGAATTAAATGTGCAGCTCACTTCACACAGATAATAAGAATTTACACCCTAATAAAGCTATTTAATCTTGAAGATGCTACCAGACTGTGTATCTGCTATCAAAGGTGGATAGAAACTATTTCTGTGCTGCTGCAAAGGAGATATTGGTTCTGACAATACAGTATACAGATTGTCTTTTTCAGCCCCCAAAATATGTATTTTATATTAAATTGTATAGACTTCTTCTCTATTAGTAAACCTATGTTACTACTTCAAAATCTGTGCTTGACTGAAGTCTCCGGGGCCCATCTAAAATGGGGTCCCCAACCCCTAGGCCATGGACCCGGCCATGGCATGCCAGAGACCGGGCCATGCAAACAAGCAAAACCCCATCTGCAGGATGCAGGCAGCACAAGAAACTATGCCCCCTTTGGTCTGTGTAAAATCTCTCTCCATGACACTGGTTCCTGGTGCCCAAAATGTTGGGGGCCACTGATCTAAGATATTGTGTTCCTTGGACCAGAAGTGAGATTCACACATGCAATAGTCACAAAGGTTCGACACCTTAAAGCAGGCATGTCAGACTCGCGACGTCATGTGACATCGCGTGACGTATCGGAGCTTTTTCTCCATTGCCGGCAATGGGGTGGGCGCGGTTTTGGGATGACGCATCCGGCCCGCGGGCCGGCAGTTTGACACCCCTGCCTTAAAGGGTTTTACTTTATCAGGCAGACACTGGTTCCTGCCTTTACATTTTTCTATCTTGGTGGCCATGAAGCAGATAAACAATTCATATTCATGCTATTAAGGCTAGCTTTTCCGTATTTGAGACTTGACATCTGCAACAGACAATACAGTTTGCCCCCTAGTTCAGTTGTGGTTTTACTTTTGTGATTTTACAATGAGGAAATGATCAGCTGATAATATGAATTTTTGAAATGAAATAATTAACCAAGTTAATAGAAATAGTAAATTCAATGTTCACCTTTCAGGTGTGATGATTTGTTATTTGTTTAAAGCACAAGACAGTTTGCTGAATTTTGATAGTATAGTCTTGGAGGTTCTGGGACCAGAAATAAGAGGTGAGGGGCTCCATGGTCTGCCAGCCAAGGTTGCCCACTTCTATAATAGGTAATCTTGTCATAGGTAATCTCTGTAATCTTCCACTTATCCTTAATCTGTGTTGATCCTCAATTCCCTTAGGTGGCATAGTGAAAGGTTTTAGAATAGAATAGAGCTGGAAGGGACCATGGAGGTCTTCAATTTAAAATAGATTTGCTATTCAAGAAGTTATTGTAGTATTTGATAATTTATTCCATCTTGCCAATGTCCTATTCTTTTCTTTTTAGGAAGCCTGAATGCAGATGGTACACAGAAACTATTCAACAGAGAATATGTGCTGATGTTTGCTGTGTTTGATGAAAGTAAGAACTGGTACAAAAAGTCCTCCCTCCAATACACAATTAATGGGTATGCTAATGGAACCTTGCCTGGTATGTCTTCTTCCATATTATTGATTAGAATGAAATTACAATCATTTCTATGAAAATTACAACAGCTGTTCTTTTCTTCCAGATGTTCAGGCTTGTGCTTATGATTATATTAGCTGGCATTTGATAGGAATGAGTTCCAGTCCTGAGATCTTCTCTGTCCACTTCAATGGACAAACCTTGGAACAAAACCATTACAAAGTGTCAACCATCAACCTTGTTGGAGGTGCCTCAGTAACAGCCAACATGTCAGTAAGCAGGACAGGAAAATGGCTAATATCTTCTCTGGTTGCAAAGCATCAACAAGGCAAGGTTATCTTTATTAGCAGGCAAGCCGTACGGTTACAATTAAAAGTTCATTTTCTTGTATATAACTCATACAAAATTATCATTTCCCAGAGACAGTACCAGGAATGTGAGGTGCAATTTGCAAAATGATTCCAGAACAACAGGAACAATAACATGTTCTATATGACAGCTGCCATACATCAGTCCTACATGTCTAGAATCTGTAACTCCAGCATTTCAAAGCTATCGTTGTGGACTATATTGGTTTATTTTTGCTCTAGGATTATGCTAGAAGGAGAAAAATGAATAAATATAGGAAGACTAATCACATTCATTATATCTGATTATTTTTTTCATCTTAGGTTTACCTATCTCTTTTTCCTGGCTCCATCCAGTTTTCTGAAACCAGTTTCCAACTCTAAATTGTTAGACTACCTGCTCTCTTTTAAGACTTCAGATAGGTTATTAGGTATACTGATTGTATATATATATATGATCTAGAAATGCCTATTTATTATGATCATTTTGGTTGTACAAAAGAACATGTTAAGAAACTGAATGATGTCTTTCTTTCTTTCTTTCTTTCTTTCTTTCTTTCTTTCTTTCTTTCTTTCTTTCTTTCTTTCTTTCTTTCTTCAGGTTTAAGGCTACCCACTGTTCAAAAGACTTAGGGTGGCTAGTAGAACATGACAGCACAAAATAAAATATCAATAAAACACCATAGGAAGCATACTAGCCCAGATTCTGTCCTTCAGGCATTCCTAGTCATTCGAATCTTGCGGGGGACATGTTCCATAGGGAGATGCGGCACCAGAGAAGACATGCTTGACATATTCACTATTAACTTATGACCTCTAGTTGTAGATGAGTTGAGGTGAAGGGAGCTGGAGTACAGCACATTAGAATGAACAGATTAAGAATGTCTGCTTTATCTTCTACTTTTCTCCCCCATATCTCAAGAATAAATTATACCTATACCTATTATATCACAAGGCCTGATTTATATGCAGTTGCTTTTTGCTAAAGGATACTTTTTTTTGTGAGCATACATCAGGTCACTGAAAGGGTCTCTAACACAAAATTAAACTGTCAAAAGTAGTTTGGAACATAATTCTGTAATTCCACATATACTAACTTGTTTAAATGTGTAAGAATCATACATTTCTTTTTGTGGGTTTAAGAGAAAGACATTATTGTTGCTTCATGGAAGCAAACATTTTTAATATAAAGTGGGCAATATTTATTTTTCATCTGAACAGTCTGAAAGCAACATGAAGAGCAAGTAGATATGCATATACCATAACCATTAATATGTTTTATTATCCTTGTCCCATTTACTTATTAATTTAGCTGGAATGCATGGTTATCTAAATATCAAAGACTGTGGAAATCCAGATACTTTAACAAGAAGGTTATCCTATAAGGAACAGAGGATGATTAAAAACTGGGACTATTTCATTGCTGCAGAAGAAATCACCTGGGATTATGCTCCAGAAATTCCTAGCAGTGTTGACAGGTAACTTGACTGAATGTGGTCAAGAGGATGAAATGATGCCATAAAAATTCATAGGATTTATCACAAACCAAGGACTTATAGGCCATTTCAGTTAAGTGAAACACATTCTCATCGTGTTAAATTGTAAAGCATGAACCTCTCTCTTGCTTCTTAATTCCATAAAATAAACAAATGTTTATTGTTCTATTGTATGTAGAAGTCATTTCATATTACATTTTTAGTTAATCTCTTTATTTTCATACAATTATGCAGGGAAAACAAAGTGGCAGAATGAAAGAATGAAAAATTCATAGTACAAGTTCATTCACAGTACTGTCATAGTTCCATTCTCTTTCCAATAAGTCATCATCTCATTCACTTCTTAAGATTAGGAATTAAAATTTCTTTGTCACAAAAATCTTCCAAAAGATCCTTGAGATTTTCAAGATATTGTATTGTAACAGAAAGAATCTCTTGCTACGATTTCAGTTTTTAAATACAGTTTTTAAAACTTTGTGCAATGGGAAGGGAACAATTCTGAAAAGAAAAAAGATATTTGAGGAAGATTAAAGCATTCTATTTTGTAGCACTTTTTCATTTTTGTTCTGAAACTAATTGCCCTGTCCTGGATTAACTATCCAGTGTGTCAAATGTCTATGGAGATTCTCAGTGCTTTTTCAGGAGGCAAATGGACTTTCTTGTTTTTCTTTGAAGATGTTTTGCTTCTCATCCAAGAAGCTTCTTCAGCTCTGACTGGATGGTGGGGAGTGGAAGGATTTATATTGCTTGCAGCTGTCTGTCACTATAAATAAGAGAAGTGTCTGACCACAGTCAGGAATGAAAGTGCTATCATCCAACAGCATTTAGAGGGTCTAAGGTCCATCATCTGATTCTACATTTATTTGGACATCCATGTATACAACTTTTCTTTGGTTTTTTACTACATTGTACACATGCTAGTTATTTATCATGTACTGTAGATTTGTAAAAACTGACTTACCCACTCATGCACGTTTCTGGTGGGATTTTTTTTGTTTTTTGTTTTTGATGTTTCTATATAAGAAATCTTACTAAGGTCTATTCTTTTTCTTTTTTTCAATTCTAAAGGAGATATAAAGCTCAGTATCTGGATAATTTTTCAAATTTTATTGGCAAGAAATACAAAAAGGCTGTTTTCAGGCAATATAAAGACAGCAGCTTCAGTAAACCGACTTATACCACTTGGCCCAAAGAACGTGGAATTCTGGGCCCTGTTATCAGAGCTGAAGTCAGAGACACAATAAGTGTAAGTACTGATGAGCAAGTAGAAGGTAAATAGATTACAATCCCATTTTATTTCATTTGCACCAAGTAATAGGATTAGCTTTAAATATATTTTGCTTATCCAAAATACATATATAATCTTAACTGATATCAAGACTAAGCTAGTCACATTCAACTGCCAATGAAAAGTACAGAGACTTGGTAATGAATAAATGTTCATATTGATTTCTATGAAAGTTAGATTTAATTTCTGTAATTTAAACCATGTGTCTCTTGTGGAGTTTACATTGGCAGAATACTTTCTCTGTAAAAGCCTTTAGTTTATCTGCGTTCATCAGTAGCCACATATGTATTTATCTTGCATATGTTATTCATGTCTTATTCTTGGTAATAGTAAATTCAAGTGAATGAGTTTCAGTATCTTCACCTAAAACGAAGTACAGGTGATCCTCGCTTAGTGACCACTTATTAGAAATTGTTTGAAGTTATGATACTGCTGAATGAGTGGGACTTATGGCCATCCTTGTAGTGCAATATCGCCACAGTTCACAATATCACATTTAATGACTGTGTGGGATTCCTAATCAACGGCAACCGGAATTACTTTGTAAGTCATCATGGTCGTGTGACATTGTTCTTTACAACTTTGTTGCTTAGCAACAGAATTGCCAGTCTTAATGACCATCATTAAGTGAGGACCAGCTATAAGAGCACTCTGGTCACTCTGAGAGCCAGTTTGGCCTAATGGTGAATGCACCAGGCTAGAAAGTGGGAGACTGAGTTCTAGACCTGCCATAGCCATAAAAGCCAGCTGGGTGACCTTGGGTCAGTCACTCTCTCTCAGCCCAACTTACCTCACAGGGTTGTTGTTATGGGGGAAATAGGAGGAGGAAGGTGTGTTAGATATGTTTGCCGCCTTGAGTTATTTGCAAAAATAGCAAAGGCAAGAAATAATAAATAAATAAATAAACAAACAAATAAATAATAAATCTTCAGTAGACATTTTGCACATATTTTACACTAGTGATATTTGGTATCGTCTGTGAGAAAGTAAAGCCTGGATACTTATAATGTCACAAGGATGGTTGAATAGTGCTATAACCGTATAAAATAAATAACAACTGTTTACATTAAAAGAAAACAATGACATATTTCAACATAATCTTATAAAATCTACAAAGCTTCAGGACTAATGAGATATTAATGGCTAAGGGGAGAGGAAAGGGGCCAAAAATTAAAAGTTGGGCAGGTCATTTAGGTTATCAGTTACACCTATGATTTATAATAGTTGCATTACAAAGATATTATTTACAAAGATATTATTATTATATAGTAAGTGACTCTTCATAAGTCAAGGATGTGCACCGTATTTTGAGCCAAGGCCCAAGATGTTATGGACTTCACTCTAAGAAACGGGCAGATAACTGGACTCAAAATTTAAGTTAATTGAATAAAATGAATATGAATAATTCCATTGTTTAAAAAAATATATTTTCTTTTTATCATGAATTACAAATTCCTGCCAACTTAAGGAAGGGCTGTAAGAACAGCATAAAACCTTTAGCAGGCATTGGGGAGCTTTGGCTTGTACACATACCTGTTTTAGGCACTGGTAAATACACTGCAATTGTTCTTTTTATATAAAAAATAAAGTCAATTCTCTTGTTTAGAGAATTTCCAGTATCATTTTAATTCTGTATCACTTTTCCCTAAACTGAAGCTCTTCAGGAGAAGCATATTCTGTATTCACATATAATATTGTCTATCCAATCATAATTATTCAGACAAAACACTGATTGTGGAAGAAAATGTCATAAATAAAATCTACAATTGTTGATGCTTTAACTGAATTTGAATTATATATTGACATATATTTTTGCAATGTAATTGACCATTACAAGCATCTTTGTATTTATAGTGAAAACAGGAAGTGCTTTACACTTCATTTTGTGGCAATTTTACTTTATTTTCCTGCAAGTAAGCATACAGAAACCCTAAGATCAGAGTTTTCTACTAGCATTCTTTTGAAATGGAAGTGGTTGTATGTACATATGTATATGTATATGTATGGGTGTGTATATGTATATGACACATATCTGTATCTGTATCTGTATCTGTATGCTTTTTATTTTAAAAACCCATAAGTAGAACAAAGTATTATCCTAATAGTCATTTTTCTTGGTTACACTCCACCCACTGGCTTTGCTATTTGATACCAACCACAAATATAGGAGCTCCTCTCTCTGGATATAAAATAAATAGCTTGGAAGAAGAACTGTGACATCATCAGGGATTTTCTTTGAAACCATAAGTTTCATTCATGTTTAACATGGCGCAACTTGACTGAGCAGGGGGTTGGACTAGATGACCTCCAAGGTCCCTTCCAACTTTATTATTATTATTATTATTATTATTATTATTATTATTATTATTATTATTATTATTATTATCATCATCATCATCATCATCATCATCATCATCATGTTGGGTTATATACTTTTAATTATTCATAGAGATTTTTTGTGGTATTTAATAGGTCTGTACTCATGTCCGAAACAATTTAGAAGAACTTGTGTAAGTGCAGTACCTGTCTATTATTCATTAAAGCAGCACAACTTTTTAGGAGCTTTAAGAGTCCTATTAACTTTTTTTAAAGCTTGTGTGAAAGTCTGAAAGAAAATCACTTTGTTTAATAGATACCAGGTAGATATTCCATTCACAAGAGAGCCAAAGTGTTTTGCCAAATAATTTTTGAAACTCTGTCAGTGTGTTCTATTGTTATGCTGTATGCTTTTACTAGATTTTATTTATTGTTTTATTTAAAAATGGGAATGTATATAAAAATGATGGTGATGCTAGCTAAATTCTTGTATAAAAACTAGCAGTATTGTGATGCTAAACATATGCTGGATTTCTGTTTTAAACAGATTGTATTCAAAAATTTGGCCACTCGACCTTACAGTATTTATGTGCATGGAGTTTCCGTTTCAAAAGATGCAGAAGGAGCTATTTATCCTTCAGATTCCAAAGGTTGGTTAGGAATTATTTCTACCTTCCTTCTCTGCTGTCTTCTGATTACTTGTGTGTCTTCCCATTAGGTTCAGCATAAGTCTGGTGTTTTTGTTGTCTCCATTTTAAATAATAAAAAGAAAATGGAAATCTATTTTAAGAGCTTTTCAATTAATTATAAGTTATATACCAAGAATCAGAAAGAGATGTAGGCTCATTCTGGTGAGTAGCCCAATACCTGCTCAAAGCAGGAATCGTTGTTCAACTAACTGGCAGATAGCTGCCTACACTCCACATGAATACATCCAATGAAGTATATTTTGTAGCTGGTTCTAATTTTGAACTGCTTTTACTGGCATAGTGTTGGAATGGAATGAGTACTAAGCCTCCAACTAGAGATTTGCAGGTTCCTAACCCATCTTTTACATTATCTTTTTTGCCTTTATATTTTAGAGAATATAACTCAGGGCAAAGCTGTTCAACCAGGAGAAGTCTACACATATAAATGGACTGTGCTTGATATAGATGAACCCACAGCAAAGGATTCTCAGTGCATTACTAACTTATATCATAGTGCTGTGGATATGACAAGAGATATTGCCTCAGGACTGATTGGGCCACTTCTGGTTTGTAAACGCAAGGCGCTCGACAGCAAGGGGGTACAGGTATTGTCAACTACTTCAAGTTGAGGGAGTAGAATGATTGACACAGCTTAGATTCAGAGGCAGCATGGCTCTACAGTTACCATTTACTGGGGAATCACAGGCGTTGGGATTGCTTCTGTCTTCCTTTTCAATGTGGGCTTTCAATATGAATTGTCAGGCTTCTAGACCATGACTTTGTAGTAAATTTTTAAATTTAAAAGATAAAAGATGGCAAGTGTAAATGGGATATCCCTCTCCCTCACCAAAAGCCTGGGTGAAGAGCTAGGACTTTATGGCCCTTCTAAATAACAGCAGAATAAGGGGCCATTTGCTTCTTAGGGGGAACCTCATTCAAGGGGGCAGGCACTACTATAGAGAAGGTGTGGTTTCAAGGTCTTCATAAAATACATTACTTAATTGTAATCAAAGGAACCTTATCACCAAGAGATAATTGCTTATATAGGCTTTTACATTATTGGTCACACTTTGAATTTTCCTCCAACAGCACTACAGGGGTCTCTTCTAGTGCTTCCTCCCCTATAGCTGCTTGTTAAACCAAGGTGCACTCCAGGATCAGCACACCAGAGGAAGCCATATAAGAGTGATATGATCCAAGGCTCCAGCCACCTGCCCATTCCATGCAGCCATACTCAGAAAAAGCCCCAAGCTTTCTCTGAAACCCCACCGGATCTATAAATCCCCATGGGTGGGCTGATTGACTGGGCCATGACTCCCTGGAACTAGGGATCAATCTGTCATGACAATGGACTGACGTTGATGTCCTCCATTGCCAGATCACATCTCAACTGCTCTGAGAGAGAAAAACAAATCTAACATGTGGCCGCTAATACGGTTGGGCTATTGATAATTTGAGACAAGTCCATAGTTGACATAGAGGCCATGAATTCCTGAGCTTCCCTGGATTCAGTGTCACTAAATGGCATGTTGGAGTTGACATGTACCAATAGTCTTGAGGACCCTATTGCCATCTCAGCAATGGAATCCAATAGCTGATGCAGCAATGCTATGGGCAAGAGGGAAAGCAATACACCAGCAGCACTCCCAACTGTTCACTTAAACCCAAATCAGATTTCATATAATCTGTTACTTCAAATGCAATCTGAACAATCTGCCTTGGACAAAGAAAGCCTTGCATATAATATGATCCGGCATTATAAAGACACGGATAATAATACCCAGACTATCTCTGTATACAAATAATTATTTTATTTATCTGTTTTTAAACAATCTTTTGTTGGTCATTCCAGCTTTATTTCATTTGAATGTTATAAATTATATTGTTATACTGCTGCTTTTTAAAACAAGGAAATGCATGTCAAGTGGCGTATCATTCTGTCAGTTGAACTAGATCTATTTTCTACCTATCACTGTGCAGAAAAAAGCTGATGTGGAACAGCATGCCGCCTTTGCAGTGTTTGATGAAAACAAGAGCTGGTACTTGGAAGACAATATCAAGGAATACTGCAGCAATTCCTCCACTGTTAAGAGAGATGACCCCAAATTTTACAAGTCCAATGTTATGTACAGTGAGTAGTAACCTAAGTCATTATTTTGTTCTGTGCTAACTCAACATCATTAAAATTAAATGAATAATAAAAGTAAAAATAAATATGGAAAACATACTATTTTTACAATTCTAATTTTATGTCTTTAATTCTAAGGACATTTATCTTGGAACAGGTTCTCTTTAACTATTGAAACTCATTTTTTGAGTAGCTGTTCTTAAGATTGCACTCCTAATTGCATTTTTTATTTTATTTTAGCACTCAATGGCTATGCATCAGATAGAACAGATCCTTTGGGGTTTCGTCAGTCTGAAATTGTTGAATGGCACCTCATCAGTGTAGGTACAATGGATGAGATTATTCCAGTACATCTTTCTGGTCACACCTTCTTATTCAAGGAAAAACATCAAGATATTTTGAATCTTTTCCCCATGAGTGGTGAATCAGCTACTGTAACCATGGACAATCTAGGTATATAACAATAGCTTTGTGTTTGATTATTTGTTTTCAGACTGTATAGCTAGTTCTATAATTGAGCTATCAGAATAGCTTCCAATATTATTAAAAACATTATAAAATTCATAGTATAGAAAAGCACAAATTCCATTAAATAGCATAAAAACACTGAAGAGAATTAAAATAAAACTAGTGTGGATTAAAACAAATAAGCATTGTCAATTTATATTTAAATCCTCCCCAGGGGTCTTTCTGATTATGAGTGTGCAAAAATCCAATTTATGTGACAGACTATTCATTTGTTATTATATTCTCTCAATTCCCTCTGATTTTACTTTCTAGAATTTCTTTTCTTTTTAGCTTTGTCTATGTATTTATACCATGTAAATTCTTCTCAGTTCCATTTTATGGGAGCTTACAAATATCTATTGACAAAAACATTTAGTCTAATAATTTGAAGAAAAAACATTTTAAAAACCATGACCACAACATTTCCAAAGTGCTGAAAGACTTGAGTTTATGATATGTTTCAAGCCTTCTCCTAAACTCTTACAAGGGGAGAGGAGGCAAGGGGGCGACCTCAGAGTATATGATCTACTATGGAGAAGGTAGAATTAGTTATTTATATGAAATATATTTGTGGCACACAAGATGATCAATTGAGCATGCAGTAGACAATATGGTAATTTGGGCCTGAGCCTTGTATATGCTACTATAGTAGCACTTTGAATTAAACCTGAGAAATGGTCAGTTGCCAGTGCAAGTGTTTCAAAATGGTGCTCTGTGTCATTTATCTCCTGTATTGCTGAATTCCAGGCCAGTGGAGTTTCCAAACCCCCTCCAAAGAATTTATTTCATAATCCAACCTTGTGGTTATCAGTGCATGTATCAATGATGCCAGATCATTCTCCATGAATGACGTGCCTGGTTTATCAGCTGAAACATACAACTTACTATGTGTACTCTGGTTTTACATTATCACGATTCAGGAATAATGTCCAAGTTGTGAATATGAACCTTAAGATTCAGAATCTGAATCTGTCCAGATCACATATGACAGCAAAGTTCCAAAGTCTAGCTCCTGGAATCAACAACAGCTTCATGTTCAATTTTAGTCTCAGTCTGTTCTTAGTAAGTCCTTTATAGCCAAGAGATGCACAGAGTTGTAAAGACATCCAACTTTGAGCTTGAAGAAAAGGAGAAGGGCAGCTAGGTTATTCTGTATAATAATAAGTAGTTCCATACTGATATAATGTCTAACTATAGAGTTTATATCTTTCCTCAAAATGAAACAATAGTAAAGCTTAAAAGGAAAAGAAAAATCAGGGCTATATGCAGTTCTGAAGCCTCAGCTTGCCCACTCCTGTCTTTAAGGGAGTAATGGGTATCATATGTTTGTGATTGTTGTGTTTATAGCTCTATTTTTTTTTGTATGTGTTATATTGCCATAGTATGTTAGAAAGCCCTTCCTAGCCTAGTATCCTCCAGTTATTCTGGATGTCTCTCACAATTCCTAGTGCAGCGGCTCCCAACCTTTTCTACACCCTGCACCCCTAGAATGCTTCTGATATATTCTCGCACCCCTTACAAAAGTTTGAAATAACAGCAACGAATTATGCATATACACTATAATTTTGAAAACCCAAGTTTTTGCACCCCCTGGAATATTGTCTTGCACCCCCAAGCGGTGCGAGCACCTCCAGTTAGGAACCCCTGTCCTAGTCAATTTGGATTTACCATACTAATTTAGTCTATATACTAACATTGTTAATGGACTGCAGAACTAACATCAGTAATTAAGTATAAGCAAACTATGAAACACAATAAATCTATCTATTATGAATTATTTTGCATTTGTAGGTACCTGGCTTCTGTCATCATGGGGTTCCCGTGAGATGAGCAATGGCATGAGACTGAGATTTCTGGATGCCAATTACGATGATGGAGATGAAAAGGAGGAAGAGGATGATGATGATATTCTTGCCAACGTTGTCAGTTTTGGCTCTTCAGAAGTACCAGTAATAGAAAAGAAAGAAAAGGACCAAAGAAGTGTAGTATCAGACACAGAAACAGATGACATAGCAAAAGAATATGGATTTTTCGATGGAGAAGATAGTCAAGAAGAATCAAGCAAGGAACAGGAGGAGGATTATGAAGAACAACTAATGATAGCTTCCATGCTTGGCCTTCGATCATTTAATGGGTCAGTTGCTGAAGAAGAAGAATTGAATCTCACAGCTCTAGCTATACAAGAAGATGCCTATACTTCTGGTGATGTATCTGGTGATGTATCTCATCTAGTGTCAACAAAGAGCTGTGATACTCTGCATGATAATGAAGAACTGAGAACTCAAAATAATTCTTGTGTAACTGCATCTGAGACAATCTATGCTAATTATACATCTTCAGCAGGAGAAATTTTAATTTCAAATATCACTGCAGTGATTGGCATCTTGCTATCTAAGAAAAGCCAAAATGAAGAGAATATTACTCAGATTTCAGATAGCTACAAACAAATGCTTGCTGCTGAATATTTAAAAACAGATAGAGAACTCCAGAGCAAAGATATAGAAGATTTAATGTCCCTTGAAATAATCTCTTCCATGAAGGAGCAAAAAGAAAATACATTTGAAAAAGATATTTGGGATAAAAAGAGAGAAAGACAAGTTTTGACAGAGGCAACTTTGCATGCTCTTAAAGAGATGTATGCTCTACTCTTTCATGTACAACAAAAAAGAAATATTTCTGCTTTCAACATTACAAGTGAGGACACAAAATTTCTTTCTAGTACAGAAAATGATTCTACCTTAGATAACTCAAAAGCCAATTACTTTTCATATGATTATGATTATAAAGAAGGAGAAATAGTAGCAGCAAATGTTGAGTTTGCCAAAGTTATAACAAATATAACTTCAGCTGATAAAGAAACAGTGGAAAACAATAGATCTAAGTCAAATCTTGTTTCAGTACCTTCTATAATGCCACAGTCTGAAAATTTGACTTCAGATGCCACATTAGATAATTTTGTTTCTACAACAATTTCAAAGATTACAAAAATTCACAAAAGTTCATATCACCAGAGAAAGAAATGCCTCCCTAAAAACACAGACATGGAATGGAATGTTGTCCACAAGAAAGAAAGTGACAATATCACTAATGATGCTGACAATAAATTCCACAACAGCAGCAGAAATGCCTCATTTTATCAAGAAAATGCCATGTTCCCTGGCAAAAGAAAAGAGAAAACATATAACTATAACGGTCAAGTTGAATTGGGCCAACCAGGAATTAATAATAAATATGAAGCTCAGAAAGATGAGAACTGCTCTGTCAATATATCTCGACCTTTTTTAAAAGTCCAACGGAAGAAAAAAAAGCCAAATGTTTTAACTCCAAGGACTTCCAAGCCTCTAGTCCTACCTGGAAATCTCAACAGCTCTCAACTTTCCAATAAACCCAACCACACAAATTTGCTAAATGAGGCCAAATTAACACAAAAACACGATAAGCCAATTGTTACAATAGGTCTTCCAGTGGAAGATGGTGACTATCAGGAATATGATATAGCTAATATAGACAATGATGAGAGTAGCAGTGGTTCATTTGAATATGAGTTAATGTATTATGATAATCCATATACCACAGATTCTAGACTTGACAGTAATAGTGCACGTAATCCTGATGACATAGCTGGACGCTACCTACGTACTATCAACCGAGGAAATATAAGGAAGTACTACATTGCAGCAGAAGAAGTGTTGTGGGACTACTCACCCTTCAGAAAAAGGTTTGACTGAATTATTTATTTTTAATTATTGTTCAATTTCATATTGCCGGTTTAACAATGACATACTAAAATGTTAAAGAATCTCTAAGCCATGAACAAGCTGTAATTGTTATAAAGAAATGCTATTAAAACTTGAGCCAGGTATGAAGAACTGGACTGTTCAGATGTTACCACAGAAAGATAACAAATATAGAATTATGGACTCTAACCTGGAATAATGATTTCCAAGATTCTTTTCAATATCATTCACGCCAAAGCCTTTCCAAAATCTTATGTTTTTGGTGTCATCTAAATCCAGCACAACTCATTTTAATTTATAAAACAAAATGTAATTAAGGTTTGTTGTAGATTGAAAATTCTATTTTCTATAAACTCGAAACAGTTTTACTGAACTACTTGTTTAAAAATTGATGAGTATTATGATCATAGGGTATATGTTTTAACTGAAGTTTTTGGATAGCGTATCATGAAAATATACCCTGTTTTAGTATTTGTGTTTTGGTATTGTTTTTTTGGAATTTGGAATTGAGTTAGAAATTAACTGCTCAGCAGCCAAACACAAATGGCATGGGAACACAGTAGAGCTAATTCTGAAGAAGCCCCAAACCCCGATATGTAAAAACCACAACAGTGTTTTATGAATCCAGGCACTATAATTTATAAACTATTGTATGATCCCAGCCAAAAAGAAAACAGAATAATCTGAACTGGAAAGCAGGAAAAGATAAATATGTTTAAAGGAAAGAAAACATTAAGAAAAAGATATATTTTCATATGCAAGTTTCATTAGATTTGTTAAAAAAAATAAGAAGTTGCAAAGAGGTAGCCATAAGCTTTATTATATCCAATTTCTCCAGTGGTTTTGTGCTCAGACCGAAGTACAGATACAAGCTACATTAAGGAGAAAACAAAAAAGGCAGTATAGCAGCAGCATGGCAGTGGCTGTCCTTGGCAAAGTCAGGAATGGAATGGAAATAACAAATGACCAGACTCAAATTATCCTACTTCAAACACATTACACAAAGACTTAGTTCTTGGGAGAAGACACTAATGCTGGGAAAGATGAAAAAAAAAGTTAAAATGATTACAAGGTAGATGGACTGTTATATTGGTGGTTGGTGTACTTCTCATGGAGAAAATCTATGTGGTCATGAGAGTCAACCACCAATTCAATGACATAATTGATAATTAATCAGTCAGCTAGGGGACCTCCAAATAGGAGTGCAGATCTGATAAGAGATTATGACACCGCCTATCAGTGAGGTAATATCATAATCTGGAGCTTCTGGAAGCAGAAAAATAAGATTTTCTCCATGAGTGTGGAATATTACATTATACTTGATGCCATTACCCAGAACTTGGTTCCATTTCCTTGTGTCTGAAGGAAAACTGTGCGCTGATTGTAGGAGAGTCATGGTTTACTCATTTATCAGCTCCTGTTCTTTTGCCAGAGTAATGATTGGTTGGACTGAAAACCAGGTGGGAATAATAGTGAAGCAAATTTCAGATAAAAATTAGGGGAACCTTTCAATTAGTTGTTTAATAACAAATAGATTACTTCAAGAGATAAGATTTTTGTTTTGCTTTGGAATTATTTCAGCTGGTTAAATAACTAAGAGTTCTATTAAGAGTTAAATTAGGCTGGACAACTTTTTGACATGATGTCATACTGACAAGATCCTTGTAAATTGGCAGGACGTTAATTTCTATTATCTTCAAAATCACCTTGGGCCCTAACAGTCTAATATATTTTCAGATAGCACTAGGTAGGAAGATAATGCACCTATCAAACACAGTGGGAAAAAGTTTTCATGTAAGCATGGTACAACTGTTCTCTAAATAAAAGTCAGTCAATTGTGTAAATCTGTTTTTAGTTCATAGAAGAATGAGATATTAATCATTTTGTGTAAGTTTAATAAAGGTGTTTATTAATTTCTAGCATTAAGAAAAAGAAAACAACTAAATATCAATTCAATATTTTTTTGATATTAAACATTCACAAATAAGAGGAACAGGCTATTGTCTCTAGCTAGGATTCTTGTTTATGTTTATCAAAGAGGAGCCCTCTTTGTTAGTCAAAGAACTAAATTTGAAACTGAAGAATCTGCAGAAGCATGGAGGTTACTATTCAAACAGAAATAGAGAACAACACACACAGGCATGCCCAAACCACGGATCCTGCTACTAAACCTAAAGAAGCTCTGTACATGTGACAGTAACTCCTAAATTCCTTACCCATTACTGAATAATATAATGATTTATTTATCAAATTTGTATAGCTCACACAAAGTGACTCTGAGTGGCATATAACAATCAAATAAAAGAACGGATAAAAAGAACATATACAAAATAAAAATCCACATTAAAAGATAAATATTATAAAAATAAACATACAAACCCAGGCAAAGAGAAGATATGAACAGTCAGTTCAACAATGAAGCCATCTGAGCATGTCACTGGTGACAATGAACCTGATAATAATGGTTTGCAATTGGCTGGGTTCATACAACTCATAATAATTCATAACCTGTGATTTATAAATTATAATGGCTGGGTTCAGATAATACATTAAGACAAAATATAATAATACTAATAAAATGCCAAATCCAGTCTAAACATCTGACTGATAGTGTGATGAACCATAATATTAATAAGAAATGGACAAAAATGCAAAATTCAATCTAAACATCTGGCTGACTATGCGACCAACAACAACAATAATAATAAACATCTGCCCATTCCACACCCTAGGGAAGTAGGTGGACAAAAATGCCAGATCCAATCTAGACCTCTAGCTGACCAACTATAGTGTGTTAAATTTAGATTTTTCTAAACCATATTATGACAATACAATGAATGTCATAATTCAAATAATAGCTTTGATATGTTTTTTTTCATTATTATTCTGCCATTTTTCTTTCTACAGCTACAAGTACTTAATATATAGTTAATGCAAATTTTTAAAAATTCAGTTTTTTTCCTCCCCAAATCTTCCATATCCTTAGTACAGTGAGAAATCGCGTAACCAGGACCACATTCAAAAAAGCTATTTTCCGAAGTTATCTTGATGATACTTTCCAGACACCTAGAACTGGAGGAGAATATGAAGAACAACTTGGTCTACTGGGTCCTCTCATTAGGGCTGAGATGGATGATGTAATTCAAGTAAGTCTATGTTCACAATATTTTAATAAAAGAGTACTTTGGATTTTTAACAACATTAAACATGAAAAATGTTTGAACTACAATAAACGGAATCAATTTCAGATTAATAATAATAATAATGATAAAGTTGGAAGGGACCTTGGAGGTCATCTAGTCCAACCCCCTGCTCAGGCAGGAAACCCTATACCATTTTGGACAAATGGCTGTCCAGTTTCTTCTTAAAAACTTCCAGTGTTGGAGCATTCACCGCTTCTGGAGGCAGGCTATTCCATTGATTAATTGTTCTAACTGTCAGGAAGTTTCTCCTTAGTTCTAGGTTGCTTCTCTCCTTGGTTAGTTTCCATCCGTTGTTCCTTGTCCTGCCTTCAGGCGCTTTGGAAAATAGCTTGACTCCCTCTTCTTTGTGGCAACCCCTGAGATATTGGAATACTGCTATCATGTCCCCCCTCGTCCTTCTCTTTGTTAAACTAGACATACCCAATTCCAGCAACCGTTCCTTATATGTTTTAGCCTCCAGTCCCCTAATCATCTTTGTTGCTCTTCTCTGTACTCTTTCTAGAGTCTCAACATCTTTTTTACATTGTGGTGACCAAAACTGGATGCAGTATTCCAAGTGTGACCTTACCAAGGCATTGTAAAGTGGTATTAATACTTCACGTGATCTTGATTCTAAAAAGCCGGTTCCAAATTTTTGTGTCTTACAACTATATGTTAAGTAATTAAATTATTTATACAAAGGATGTAACACACATTTACCATGGACAGTACTGGAATCAAATCAATGCTTTTCACATTATCTGGGATGAGCACCAACAGAAATTGGGCCAACTAGCGTACGGGAAACAAATTTTGAAATGTAAGAAGCTGGGGGTCTGAGCTTCTTTTCTCTTTTTCACAGATCTATTCTGTTACAGGAATTCTGAGCTTTCCTCAGAGACTCCTTTTTCTTTGAAGTGCTTTGAACTTTGAAACTTGGACACCAGTTTGAGTCAGGATATATCAGAAGTCCTTCGGGACCCCTTCCTCCTCCCTTCGTAAACGACCTCACGTTGTCTGTGCAATCTCGTCACAAAGAGTTGGAACTGTTAAAATTCCGTACACCTGAAGTTGAGGGTCTTAAGGTGTCGGTCGTAACGACCGACACCTTAAGACCCTCAACTTCAGGTGTAGCCTTAAAATTGTCAAGGTTGAGAAACACTGTGTTAGATGTAAAAAGGAAGAACTGTCAGAACAGGCCTTTAACTCTAGGAGGCTTGCAAAGGTGTATCAGCATATTTTTATACAATCTGGATGTATCTATCTAGCAAAATAGAAAATAATAAATTAAACGTACTCTAATTTATTTTATGCGTATGAGATTTACAACAATATTTAAATATTGTTTGTTTGAATGTTTAAATATTTAAGATATTGTATTCTCTTTCTCTCTCCTTTCTCCCAAGTTATGTCATAAACTTTCAATATTTTTTGTACTTTTGCAAATCCTGCATTCCCTGAGCCTACAGAAGTTCAACACTCAGGAAATTCAATTCACTTCTATTGTGTATGGTGATACAGAAGTACAATATAATATCAGATATTTTCAGTACTGTCTGAATAATATTCTGAGTCAATCTTGTACAGTCCTTGGTTAACAACAGTAATTGAGACTGGAATTTCTGTTGCTAAGAGATTTGGTCATAAAATGTGATATCATATGACTCTACTTCTTAGTGAATGCAGTTCTGACAGTTCTGGCAGTCCATGGTTGTGTCATTGGGCAAATCCTATACTGTCATTAAGAGCATGTGGTCACCACTTGCAACCTTGTTTCAGTTTCCTCACTGACTTTGCTTGTCAGAAGCTGGCAGTGAAGGTTGCAAATGGCAATTACATGAACATCCCTGTGATGTTGTAATTGCGAGCCAATTGCCAAATACCTGAATTATAATCATGTTATTGTGGGGATGCTGTAATGGTTGCTATTACAAGGATTACCATTTCAGTTTGAATGCTGGCTGAATAAGTGGTCCTTAAATGAGAACTACCTGTATAGAATAGTTTTGTATATACCAGTGGTTCTCAACCTTTTTAATGCCACGACCCCCAACCGGTCGTAAGTTGAGGACTAAACTGGTCGTAAGTCGAGGACTAAACTGGTCGTAAGTCAAGGACTAAACCGATCGTAAGTCGAGGACTACCCAACCGGTCATAAGTCAAGGACTTTCCCTGCCCGGGAGCACCAGTGTACGTACCAAGGCGGGGGACGCGGCCGGCTCCGCATCGACCGTTCGCCGTCTCTGCCTCGTCCGGCTGGTGGTCGACCGGGTCGAGTTCCCTCCATTCCGTGGGCGGCCTTTTCCCTTTTTTTACCGTCTGTCGGAACGAACCACTGGGGGCACTTTACCAGCTAGCTGGGGTTTACCCCAGCGCTGGGTATCCAAGAGAACCGCTGGTATATACTGTATATAGAGATCCAGTGAAACTAATAACATGTGTATGCAATATATGAGATACATAAACTGTTTTGGGGTCACACATGGATTTATGTGGCAGGATCCAAAGAAAAAAATAAATTGGATTTAATATACTGCTCAAAAAAATAAAGGGAACATTTTACCATGGAACTGAAGGGGTTTGAGTTCCCTTTATTTTTGTGAGCAGTATATATTGATGTAGGCTTTCCTAGTCGGTATCTATTTGATAGTGTTGCGCTTCAGAGTTTAGTGACTATAATGTAGACAACAGATTTCCTGATATTTCGCCAACAAATGTAATTGGCATCTTCAAAGGCAAGGTGGTCTGCTATGTAGATCATAGACAATTGAGCAGGAACTTATTGGGCTCCTGATTTTATAGCCAGGTGTCCAGATTTCTAATTGCTGTTCAGCTGAGATGGTTTTCAACTGTGCAAGTTGGTAAGGGTTAGTCTTTGATCGATTGTTTATGCCTGATACTAATTGGTTGCTTTGTGTTGTTGGTTGCTGATTGGACGTTTGTTTATCCTGATTGGTCATTTTGAGCATATACAGAATAAGCAAAAAATAATAAAAATAAAATTAAATAAAAAAGAAATGTAAGTATACTGTATAATCACATTTGATAAAATAACTTATTTGCAGCTTCGGTGTATGCCATGGTCCTTTGAAATACCCTACAATCTCTGGACGAGGCTACAAAACTGCAAATGTTTGAAACTTTCTGGACATAGTTTTTTTTTAACCTCCCTATTAATCTTTGACTGTTCAACTCTCTAGATTCAGTTCAGAAATAAGGCCTCTAGACCATACTCACTTCATGCTCATGGCCTTCTTTATGAGAAATCTTCTGAAGGCAGAAGCTATGATGACCAGTCTCCTGAGTTTTTCAAAAAGGATGATGCAATCATGCCAAACGGCACATACACGTATGTCTGGCATGTCACCAAACGGTCAGGACCAACAGACAAAAACCAAATATGTAAATCATGGGCCTATTACTCTGGTGTATATCCGGTAAGATAAATGTCATAGAATATTTTTAAAAAGAAAACCTAACAATCATATAATGCCTTTATTTAACCTTAAAGAAGTATATATGCTTATCTATCTTCTAGCATATGCATTTTGCTTCTTAGTTTTATCTTAGATTTGCAATTCCTTTCATGAAAAAGAACGATTTCTGTTTATTTTTTCAGCATTGATTATAGGGCCATGTATTGAGGTTTTGTATATGTTTCCCTAGATTTTGACCATTTTTTTGTAGGCCAAATAGTTTTGAAACCTCTAATGAAGGAGAAATGGAATCAAATTTCATCACCATTTAGTAGCTATATTAATAACATTTTCCCAATCAGATAATCTCTTAGTACATATATTGTTTTTTATAGAAATATTGATTGAATATTCATGTTTATTTTTCTTTAAGATTAAATATACATATGCTTGTTTGTATTGTCAAATAATTATTTTTCATATTGGGTTTGTGTTAATTATTTTTACCTTTAATTAGATGCTATTACTAAATGTTCATTTTAGTAATATCATTTTGTGTTTCTTTTTTAACTTGAAAAATAAATCATATTAAAATATACTTTGCAGGAAAAAGATATTCACTCTGGTTTGATTGGACCTATTTTGATCTGCCAGAAAGGCACAATTGACAAGTACAACAGGCCAATAGACATAAGGGAATTTGTCCTGCTTTTTATGGTCTTTGATGAGGAGAGAAGCTGGTATTTTGAAAAATCTGACAAAAGGACGCGTGCAGAGAAACTTGTAGGAATCCAATCTCGCCACACATTTCCTGGTAGAAATATTTTCATTTCTCTTGTATAAGATTTCCAGTTGCAATAAATCATTTTCATGCTAATGACAACATAATAGGATTGTCTACTCATGTTATCTTTATGTATATAGCAATAGAACTAGCACTTAGACTTATATACCGCTTCATAGTGCTTTACAGCACTCTCTAAGCAGTTTATAGGGTCACCATATTGCCCCCAACAATCTGGGTCCTTATTTTACTGACCTTAGAAGGATGAAAGGATGAATCAACCTTGAGCCGATCAGGATCGAACTCCTGGCAGTGTAATGCAGAATTCGCCTGCAATACTGCATTCTAACCACTGTGCCATCACGGCTCTTAAGAATATAAGAATTACATTTATATTTTTTTCTATTTTCCTTATCCTAATAATAGCACAGACCTGTATTTATCCATTATTAAAACAATCAACTCAATTGTTAACTGATTGCTTGTGTTAATATTAAATCTATTAGATTTTGCTTTCTCTTCTAGTCTTTGTATCCTAAATAAAACAACTTTAAAACTACATTAAGTATACAGATCAGATTCTTTTCCATTTCTTAGATTCTATCATTACCCTTGTTCTCTTTTTAAATAAAATTACAGAGATGCTATTTGAAGAGAAGCACAAAAAAATACATCTTTGATTCCTAAAGATGACTTTGGCACACTCCCTCTCTCTTAGCTCACCCTATCCTACTGGGTAGATATGGAGGGTAGGGACAGAAGGGATTGCTATGAATGGTGCCTTGAACTCCTATAGCATAGCATTTGTGTCAGAAGTACCGAAGCACTTACGGGTTGAAAGGATTAGCCGGTGACATCACCGTTGCCTGCGGTATGCCTGCTTGGGGGCTCCCTTCCTGTTCCCGGCAGGAGCTAAAGTGAAAGACAGGAGCTCAACTATGCCCCACGACAACATTTGGGTCTTGAAGCTGGGCTAGCCATGTGAGCCACCGTGCTCCATTAACTCCTATACAAAAGGTGGAATCCAACTAATAATGATAAAGCTCCCAAATATTAAGAGTTCTGTGACTGAGATTTTCAGTAAAAGTTTTTTATTAACACAACTATATTAGCATAGCATTTTTATTTTATAGATAGTTATATCAAAGCACAGCATAAGATCTATTTTACTCTGATAACAACTGTTGAGGTATGTTGGGCTGCCAGAATGACTGGCTCAAAGCTTGCATAGTGGTGTGAGTGAATGTACTAGAATCTGGGTCTTCCTCCTTTTAATCCAGAATCTGTAGCACAAACATCTGTGGAGCTATTCAAGTCTAAATTGGTTTCTCAGTTATTTCTCTTCCTTTCTATGGCTGTGTCACAATTCTCAAATAACAGAATAACAGTTGGAAGAGACCTTCTAGGTCTTCTAGTCAGTCAAAATCAAGATTTTCACAACTGTTTGTTCAAGAAGAAGCTTTGTATAATTTCCTTTAATAAAATACATATTTAAACTATATATCTACTTCAACTGGAATATCCAAATTTGGCTATATCATAATCTTTAGAAGCTTAGAAGATGGCTACATGTAACTGCAAAAATGCAAGATAAATTTGGCATACATCTTTCTGGTATTACAGTGCCTAACTTTATTTATTTTGTTTTAGTCTGTCTTATTTTGAATGGTCTTTTTTATATTTTATTAAGACCAATATTTGCTGGTTATTTGTGAACGAAGCAGTTAAAAAATAAATATCTTTTTCCATCTCTCCTTGCACTACTATATTTAAAAGCAGTTGTAATCTTAATGAGAACTAGGAGAAAAAAGAGAAGTTTTCCCCCAAATCCTCACAATGCTATTGAGTTTCCATATTAAACATTTTTAATCTGATGCCTGCTATATTAAACTGAACTGCAATGCTTTTTGTTTAATCTGGTCATATTTTTATTTTTTAGCAATCAATGGAATCTCCTACCAGTTGCAAGGCTTGAAGATGTACAAAGATGAAAATGTCCACTGGCATTTGCTGAACATGGGTGGACCCAAAGACATCCATGTTGTTCATTTTCATGGTCAGACATTCACTGAAGAGGGAAGGGAAGATAATCAACTTGGGGTCCTTCCTCTTCTTCCTGGTAAATAAATTCAGATACATACACCTGTTTCTTGCTGAAATGACTTGAAACATTTCTAACTACTTGCACTGAATATAGATATAAAGCATTCATTAAAATATGTTAGCCATACAGGAGGTAAGAATATTATGTATAACTTCTTGAGTTGAACAAAATAAATATGGGAAATAAATGTAACAACAGTGTGGAATGCACAATGCATTTCAAGTTGTAACTGATCTTAAGGGAAATAGGATATTGTTTAAATATAATAGCATCAGTTATATAACACTGTTACTCTTCATTTAAGTATTCTCTTAAAGAAGCATTATACAGCCTGCAGTATATTGGAATGTTAATAGCATTAACACAAATGTTTAAACTTCTGAAATAGTGAAATGTGCAAAATAACAGCACCTTACCTTTTGTAAGATACATTTTCTTTATGATGTACATAGTGGCCATTACTCAATGTATGCATTATTAAAATTGTATGCAATGAAATTTGTTCATTGTAAATTTACAATGAATTTTGATTCCAGTAGCTTCAGAGATATGCTAAGACATTCAATTTTCCATCTAGATAATCTGAGAGAATTATGGCTAGCAATACAAAACTTCTCACGTACAAGGGCAATTTGGAAATAAAAATCCGTTTGAGGTGTGAGAAATAGGTAGGGATAGCGACGTCCGTCCTATGGCGCCATGCGCAGTAGGCAATAAGGAGTGGAAGGAGAAGGTTGTGTTGCAGTTGACTTGTCCACTAGATCAATTGAAAATGAACTCTGCCATAAAAAAATCCCACCAAATGTGAAGATGCCAAAGGAATACTACTAGTGAAGTTCATGGAGCGTGGTTTGACCATCAGTTCAGAAGTCTACTGTGAAACATTACAAAAACTCAGACGAGCCATCCATAACAAGCACCGGGGCATGCTGACTTCCGGTGTGGTGTTGGTTCACGATAATGCCCGCCCACACACTGCTAAATGCACCCAAAAACTTTTGAAGCAGTTCCATTGGGACGTTTTTGATCACTTGCCCCTAAAGCCCAGATTTGGCACCAAGCGACTACTACTAAGGAATTTCAAACCTTGTAAGACCTTATGATAAGTGCCTCAATATGAATGGTGATTATGTCAAAAAGTAATGTTGTAGTTTTCTAATGTGTATAATAAAAGTTCCGTATCTGCGAGAGTCTGTCATTGATAACCAAACAGAGGTTTATTTCTGAATTGCCCTCGTATATGGGAAATAATAATCATAAAAACATTCACAGAATACTTGAGCTCTGACCAGGTTTGATGGCTGCCTATGGGACAATATATTCATGTGAATAGGAGGGAGAGAGGCTTGTTTGCTTGCTTATGCTGTAAAATAAACCTTTTATAAATAGATAAACTAATAAATTAGGATTTAGGACTGTATAGAGCTCCAGTTCTCATTCTTACAAGATCTCCAGTCCAATGTTGAAAGACTGAAAATATTTAAGGGATAAGTGCTGTAAAACTCTTACTGTAACACAGATGTTTCCCAAATTCAATGACTTTCTTCTTCTATCAACCAATGGTTTGTTCCATAACTTTTGTTCCATTAACTTTAAGTATAAATCTGTTTGCCATCTAATTTCTGGTTATGTTTAACATGCTATTCTACTCAGCATATTACCACATGACTCAAATTCTAGGAATTTAAACCTATTTTAAAAATTAACATGTTTCCTTTCTGCTTTCAAGGTTCATTCACCACGATCAAAATGAAACCATCCAAAATTGGCACATGGCTTTTAGAAACAGAAGTTGGTGAATATCAGGAAAGAGGAATGCAGGCTCTCTTTACTGTCATTGATAAAGGTAACGGAGCTTAACCATACTAATTCTACAAGGCACATATCTTCACTACAAGTTTGTGACACACAAAAAGTGGTGGGGATCAATTCTGAGATCCCAGGATTTTTTGTTTGCATAGATAGCATGTAGATTACATCAGTGGCACATTCCCTATTTAGCAGGCATTGGAAATATTTTCAGGATTTGAGAGAAGGCACGCGTCATATTTTAAAATCATTACTACATAATCTGCTTGTCTTTGCCTCTTCCTAGCTGGGCATACCTAAGATAGGTACAACAGCATAGCAACCATATCTTTTTCTCCTGTTGGGTTTAATAAATAGTACTCTGTTTAATGCCAGAATTTAGGAAAAGCTAATAAAACACCTCCATGCTGTCTCTTTCTCCCTCTGCAGATTGTAAATTACCAATGGGTCTGGCAAGTGGGATAATACAAGATTCACAAATCAGTGCTTCAGGTCATGTTGGTAGGTTGTCATGTCAAAAATCTTGTTATTTGGAAATCCTATATCTATAAGTTCATCTACTATATTGTGTGGCTCTAATGAACTTCATTAAATTATACGTGAGGCATGTTTTCATTTTATTTTTATGGTGCTAAAAATAATTGTCTCGTAATAACAAGAGGGCAGGGAAAAGAACACTAATTATTAATATGTACTGGGCCCTCAATATCTAGCATACAGTATGCAATATATTTTTGGGAACATTTTCAGATTTTTTTCTTTCTGCTTCTTGGTTCCAGTTCTTTTATAATAGTCACTTGATAATCGATAATTTCCAATATTTTTTTCTGTCTTTTCCATATTTCTGTACAGGATATTGGGAACCTAACCTAGCAAGACTGAATAATGCTGGAAAATATAATGCTTGGAGCATCGTAAAGAAGGAAAATGAGCATCCATGGATCCAAGTATGAATTAAGATACATAAGGGGGAAAACCCTAACTAAGATGACTTAAGCTTATTGCATGCATGGGCTGAGGAATCTCAGGCTTCTCTCAGCATTAGAAATAGAAGCTCAAGAGAGCAGGCATCCAAGAATACTAAACTCAGACAAGAAGTTTAGTAAAAAGGAATGAGGCTAACTACAGAATTCTGGACATGGCTAGATATCAAATACAAGCCCAAATTATAGTGAAATCAATCTTTGTATTCTTGCCCTTTTACTTCCACCTATGTAATGGGTCTGAATTTTCTCTCTTCTGGGCAGGAGGAATGGTTTCCACCTGTTCCTAATGTTAACAGTTGTGGTAACTAATTTTTGACATCTGCTCTTAACTGTATCAGAACTAACTTTCATAGGAACACAGATTAAAAAATATTGTGGTTTAGAAATAAGGGACACGGCCTCTATCTTCCTTACTGGCTAATATCAAGTCAAAAATAGTTCTGTTCTTTGTGATTCCTCTTCTCTGAAAGAAACAACTATCTGGAAGGTAAGAACTGTCTTCCAACAAATACCAGGATAATTAAATTCCTTTTATCATTTCTATTTAAATATCTGCAATTTGTTTTTTTTTTAAAGATCATGCATAACTTTTAAATTGGGTTCATAATATTAAGCACCAACCACAGCCTTATTTTTTTGTTCCTTCACTCATTTTGATCCAGAGGCTCTCAACAATATTGTGAAGATCACTCTTGGATTTTTAAACTGATAATGGATATAGATAAAAAGATGGGTACAAAAAGGCAGAAAAACTAATTTCCATCCATCGCATTCATAAGGTTAGAAAAGACACAAGCATCTAAAAGACATCTTGCATTAGAGTTGAAAATTAAGTTCTTGCTTAATGATTGCCCTACCTAGTGACTTTCTCAGTTACAATGGCAATGAAAAAGTAATTTTACAACTAGTCCTTGGCTGATGACCAGTGCAGTGTCCCCATCGTCACATGATTGACCTTCAGGTGTTTCTTAAGTGGTGGGGGTTTCTGAGTGTCACAGTGTCCTGGAATTACGTGAATGCTTTTTGTGCACTTCATAACTGGCTTCCGACAAATAGAGTCAATAGAGAAGCTGGCAATAAAATTGCAAGTTGTAGTCACACGATGTCTTGCTTAATGGGCAAATTAAATTGATGTCATATGGCCATTGTAATTATGGGATTTTTGCTTAGCAACCATGATGCTTAGCAATGGAGTTTTAGGCCTAATTGTGGTTGCTAAGCGAGGACTATGAGCAGGTGCCATGACATAGTGAATGTAGAACAGAGACTGATATCACTGCTCAAAAGACCAGCTCCTATTTTTTAGTTTTAAATGATTACAGAAAGAGAAAGATTCAGGTTTAGGCTGTGTAAGATATATCATCTCAGTGTTTAAAGAACTGATTAGAACCTATATTGGACTCTTTTCTTACTGTAAAAGTGACACATTCCTCTAATTTTAACCTGATTTTTAGTATTATTAAATTTTTAAATGCAATTTTAATATGATTTTAGAGATACTAAATTTACTCTCATTTAAGGAATTTAATTCTAGGGAAGTTAATTTTTATCCTATTCACTCAGGCATGGAATTAATAAGCCAAGCTAAAAGCAAGTAAATGCTTTTCTGTGTATAGAAACAAGATGCAGTTTTTGAAATGGCTGATCTCTGTTTTGTTCTGTAATGATCCTTTTTTTTACAATGAACCTATTGTCACTGATACCACAGTTTATTGCAATACCACAATGTGATTTGGTTGTGGAAATTATCTTGGAATGCACTGTTATTCTTGAGACATTAAGAATATTAACATTTTAATATTAAAATGTTACTTTTGTCACCTTAGATTAGGGGAGATTGTGAATTAAATATACAGGATAAGGAATATTTGAAAATTGATTTCCCACTTGGGAAAGCAGATGAGTTTGAAAGCAAAATCTTTGATATATACTTAATTTCATTACATTCATCTCTATAGCCCTGACCATAATCAGTTAGTCATTTACTTATTTAGTCTATTGGTCTATTCCAGGGGTGACAAACTGCCAGCCCGCGGGCCAGATGCGTCATCCGGAAGCCGCGCCCACCTCATTGCCAGCAATGGCAAAACTGTTCCGATACGTTGCGCAACGTCATGTGACGTCGCGAGTTTGACATGTCTGGTCTAGTCTATTTCCTTGTTAGCTCTGCAAATACTTATCAGAGCTATAAAATAATATAAGAGTGTTATATTTTAATTTGCATAAATAATACATATATTATTTTGATTTTCTTTGTGAAAGGAAACATGACTGCTACAAAGATATTCAGGTTCTGCATATTATTTCATATACACAATCAGTTTTATATGTGGTTCCTACATTGTGCTAAACTATAATTTGCTAGGTTCATACATGCTCAGTGGTGGGATTCAGCCGGTTCACACCACTTCGGCAGAACCGGTAGCTAATTTTTTGATGCCCAGGCCCAGAATGGACTTCCGGAAGCAGCATCAACATAGAGAACCAGTTGTTCACATATCTGAATCCCACCACTGAACATGCTATTTTAAAAATGAGATTGCAATGGTTTAGCAATTAAAAGAATACAAAATTTGACACACTATGGCTTAGTGTCATATATGAATCCAGTTTCATATCACTATATGTCAAATCAAGAGCATTCTGGTTGGTCTGCTTTTAGGTTGAGAATGATAGTAATCTTAGACAACGGATGGCAAAGACTACAGGGCAGATTAGTATAGACCATACTATTTGTGTTCTATGCTGTACATTGGCTTAAATTAGAGAGGATGTTCTTCTACCATCAAAGATGAACTAGATTTCAACCTTCAGTTTGTTAAATTGATAGAAAAGTGATAAAATTCCATTTATGTGAGACAGATTTCTTGAACCAATCCTGTATTTCCATCCAGTATAGTACAGAATACCTTTTAACTGAAGAAATGAAACTGAGGTACTGTACTATAGATTCATAATTTTTGTTGTTATTGTATAGGTAGACCTACAAAGACAAGTTGTCATCACAGGTGTTCAGACCCAAGGAGCCATGCAACTACTGAAAAATTTGTATACTGTGGAATATTTTGTTACCTACAGTAAAGATGGGCGAAAGTGGATTGCTTTTAAAGGAAAACATCCCAAAACACAAATGGTTTGCACGTTTCTTCTATCTGAAATCCTAATTCTTCTTTTCTGCTTGAAAATATGTAGAAGTAATGCTAAGAGTTTTTACCCTTTCAAATTTTAATATATGAAAAAGAATAGTATTAAAATTATATATTCTCTATACATCTCTTAAACTAATACAAACATGTTTTATTTACTATCTTGTCCTTTTTTCACTTGTTTTCTTTTTAAGGAAGTAGGTTTCTAAATCCAGATTAATTTTGCATGAGAAACAGAGATGCAAAAACTGGAAAATATTTAATTGGTGGGTGGGTAAGAATGTAAATTGTGGAAAGGTAATTTCTTCTCTTCCTTCTTTTAACTTGTAAATAATAAAAGAAATTATTAAAAGGGAATTGTAGCTGGGAACAACAGATGTGATTTAATGTAGTGTAATATTTTTATGGGCAAATATATAAAGAATGATTGTGGTGACATTAGAGGTGTGTTTAGTGTGGACAAGAAAACCTGTGTACTTTGTTTACAGATGATGTATCATTGCTATTTTAAACACCAAATTATTTGTGGTGAACACTAGGCAGATTACATGTTACAATGAGGAATATGAATCTGAAAATATTATACATATGCATATCAAAGACTGAAATACATTGTGTTTGACAGGAAAAATGGAGAGAACAGTTGTAAGCTATAAACAAACACCAAGAAAATAAAGCAAATAAATATAACAGAACTCTTGCAATATGAAACTTTCTGATCCTCAATTCTCACTGAAATAATTCAGTGCTTGTTTTGATGTGCAACCTCACTGAAAACCAATAATTGATTAAAACTGAGTAAGCTCAAATGCATTTTAATTTTCCAGATGCAAATATTTAAAAATAATTTATATTTTTAAAAGATGAGACATAATTTATGGAATTTGGACTTCTTTTTCCTCAGCTTTTTGAGGGTAATTCAGATGGTACCCAAGTAAAAGACAACCACATTGATCCTCCTATTATTGCCAGATATATTAGGCTGCATCCAACCAAGTTCTACAATAGACCTACTTTCCGCATTGAACTGTTGGGTTGTGAAGTTGAAGGTAAGACATGAAGAGACGTTTGGCACATACTATCAAATGAGGAGAAACATTGAAAGTGCGAGAGAAATGAGATTTTATACAAACAATGAATATTTTTTTGGGGGGGAGATTAAATTACTTGATCAAACTATCTGTAGAAATATAATTCCAAGCCTGCTGGTATTTTTTCCTGAATATGATAGCAATAGAAAAATCTAACAAGGATATGTATTTACAACAGGGTGCTCTATGCCATTGGGAATGGAAAGTGGGGCTATCCAGAATTCAGAGATTACAGCCTCTTCTTATAAGAAGACGTGGTGGAGTTCATGGGAACCATCCCTTGCACGACTCAATCTGAAAGGGCGAACAAATGCTTGGCAACCAAAGGTAAAAACAAAAGCTACAAACTAAGTTACCTGATTTTTTTTCTTGGTTGAATTTTTTTAATTTTACTTTTCCATTAAATTAAATGCTTAAGGTAGTTTCCATCTAATAATTGGTGGTATCAATCAAAGAGAAGAGAGAACAGAGAGCACAGCTGATATGATTGGTATATTTTGAATGATGCTGAATTGTTATTTACGTAGAATTAATATTTCTTTCCACACTTTTATTTCTCCTTAGTGAAGTCACTTCACAAATTATATGGCAGCAGTTTCAGAGTTGTATGTCAGTTAATATTGTCTCTCTGATTGATATTCTTGTATAATATAGGAGTCTTTAAATGATTGCTTATTGTATTCATGAAATCATGGAATCATATAATCATAAGGCTGGAAGGGACCTTGGAGATCTTCTGATCGACCTTCTGCTCAGGGCAGTTCTTATTCTATTCCAGACAAATAGTTGTCCAATCTTTTCTTGAAAACCTCCAGCGATGGAGCTCCCACAACTCCAGGAGACTATTTGTTCCATTGACAATTGTTGATTGGGAAAAAATTATATTGCAAGAATTAATACATGAAGCATCCTTGAAGAAATTTGTGTTCTGAGCATTAAATGTGTTCTATTTTTATAAGAAAGAAAAGTAAAACAGAGGGAGGAGAGATTCCATTAATTCTATAGTAGTTAAAGTCCTATATAATTGGAGATCATTTTTGGATTTGTGTTGTTTAAATTTAGGGTAGGTAGGCTTCATGTGTTCTCTTGGATTTTTAATAGCATTTAATTTACATGTTAATGAGTTCAGATTTCCTGTGCATTTCCATATGACTCAATTAGTGCAGGTTGTAGATAATTAGAGTTCAACTGCTAAGAGTAGCATGATAAGGTCAACCTTATTAATCCTTTAGGTAAACAACAAAGATCAGTGGCTACAAATTGATTTGCAACAGCTTACAAAAATAACCAGCATAATAATTCAAGGAGCTACATCAATGTCTACAGAAATGTATGTGAAAACATTTTCCATCCATTATACTGATGGCAATTCAACATGGAAGCCTTATTTGGATGTTTGCACTTCCATGGAAAAGGTACCAATTACTTATCTTACTGATGAATTTGATTACCTAAATTATACCTTCCAACCTTATTTTATTACCATATGTATGATACTATGTTGGGAATATATAAGGCTGAAAAATCTTAATTTCCCTTTTCATAGATTTTAATCTAATCTTTGGGAGTTAGTGACTCTGTACTATCTAATTTGGTTTTGTTACAGCTCCTACAGTTTGCCAGAGTACATTGTTAAATTGCTGAACAATGATTTGTAATTAGGTGGGCATCAGAGGTCCCTTTATTAATTCAGAGGAAACCAAAGGGTACAGATGGAGCAGCAGTTGATAATAGTGGGACAGATTAGCAGATCATTTTGCCGATTAGTTCCCTGAAAAGATCACTGCTCAAAAGCCAGAATAATAATTGAGTCTTATTACAGGTGAATTATAGTTCATGTCTCCTGTGGGACATAGCCCTAGTATTCTTACTGTAAAAACTACAAGCCAATGCTGGAATGCTTCATAAAGGGTAGTTCCTAAACATTCTCAAAATCAGTTTGATTTCTCTTGCTTTTCAGGCATGGTTAAATTCTACCATAATTTTTTTTTAATCTCATATTTTTCAGTAAAGGAGAAAATTATGGCAATGTACATCAACCCAAAAATCTAACGAAACCTTTCCCTTCCCTAGAGGGCCTGGAAAGACTGTAATCATCATGTCCCCTATTTTTCCCTATGGCTGAAAATTTCCTGGAATTCCAGCAAATATGAGATTTCTCCAATTAAAAGCACTTGGAGCGTGCCATCAGTCAGGACAATACATGCATCTCAATTTGAATGAGTTTGACAAAGCACATTGGTAGTCAATAACAGCATTGATTTCAAATAATGAAACAATAGTTGAAATCATAAGGCAACCTGATAGGTTTATCTAAATTTTGCAAGCCCAAAAATTGAGATAAATTGAGACAGAAAATCATTTTCCTGGTGACATTCTGTGGGAATTTTGAGGATTTATATTTGAAATGTTCATTCATTTGCATATGATGCTAATTCATTCTTTTGTTTTATATTAAGGTGTTCACAGGAAATATTAACAGTAATGGACAAGTCAAACACTTTTTCAAACCACCTATATTGTCCACGTTCATTCGTATCATCCCAAAAACATGGAATCAATATATTGCACTCCGGATAGAACTGTTTGGTTGTGATGTGTTTTAAGGCTTGCGCAGAAGACTATCAAATCAAGCAACTTCAGTGTTTCAGGTTTTCTTATACTAACTCTGTTTTTAAAAGGAAACAAAACAAAAGCATAATAAAACAGTATTACCATAATAAAGCTATCCTTTTCAAAAGGTTTTCAGCCACAACTTTCAAATAGCTTTGAAAATATGAATCAAAATAACACAACTGAAGTGACTTTACAATGGATAATTCTACTGCCACTTTAATCCTGAACGTACATCCTAACACAATAAAATCTTATTTTTTGCCAGTTTCATGTTGCTTGTGTCTTCCTGTTCTCAAATAGAAAACATTTCATTTCAATTTTTTTGTTGCACTTTCTTTTGAGGGCATATAATGAAAATATTACATTAATTAAATTTCAGTGATTAAGAGCTTCTAGCTCAACTTGGCTGTTCTAGAAAGTTAAACCAGGTTGACCTTGGTTAGTACATAGATGATCATCTGAAACATCTACGCCAATGAGATGGATTGGGAAATTGAAGGCAATGGCATTTAATGGTCCACTTAATGTTGCTAGGAAAAATATGGATGCAGCTGTGTAAATCATCAGAAGTTGAAACTGAAAAATATGAATGTAGCTATGTAAATCATCAGGAGCTGAAAGGCAACTTTTAATGAAGACAGACAACAGTAACTGTTAGATCAGAGGTATAAATGCTGATATCAATGGTGCTTTTCAACAGTCTCTATGAATAATCTTAGGTCTGGAGAAGGAGTCAAAGTGACTAATATAATCAATTAAAATGATTTATTTCAATTATCTAATATTTACCAAAAATGAACCAATTCCAATGAATCAAGGATAAACATATCCAAACCCAATATATATAATATATACCCAATAATTCCTCAACAAACACATCTGGTTATTTTTGCTAATTTCCATATTTTAACATTTCTCCAGTTTCTGTAGAGTTTATGACTTTTTAACATTCTCACAATGTTTACTACCTTTTCATCATTTTTTCTTGAGCACTAATTCCAAACTTTCACCTCCATTTCAATAGAGATTATATTTAGTACTCCTTTCAGCATTCCTTTAGTTTCTTTGCAAATAATTTCATTATATTTATTGTCATTTCCATTCACATTCTATCATATATTTTAGCCCTTTCATTCATGGACAACTGGAAGCTTCTGCTGCTTTCATGAAAGTAGTAGTTGGAGCCAGTTTAGTGTAATGGTTAAGGTGCTGGCCTAGAAACCAGGAGACTTGAGTTCCAGTCCCACCTCAGGCATGAAAGCCAACTGGGTGACTTTGAGTCTCTCTCAATCCAACCAATGTCACAGGGTTGTTGTCATGGAGAAAATATAAGAATTATGTGTTTGCCTCCTTGAGTTACTTATAAAGTAATAAAGGCAGCATAAAAATCTAATAAATAAAGTGATGTTATAATAATGAATATAAAAGGGAGTGAGGCATGTGTTGTGATGAGGCAGTATTTCATTACTGACGCATTTGACCACACCGGTTATGCTGCTTTCTTTATAGTTAATCCTACACCTTAACTTCCATACATGTATTCACCAACTATATCCGGAAATCAGACCACCTCCATTCAGATCTATTACAATTTTTCCTTTTCCTTTAGTTTCATAGACACATACCATATCTATCTACTGTATATTTAAAAAGTTCATTCATTGATTCATAATTCATTCATTCACTCATGATCTGTAAAATGTATTCCTCTTACATTCCAAGTTAAAGTCCTCCATACATTATCTCACCAGACTGCCTTGCTTTTTCCCTGGGAAAGTCAAATTTAGACTTAAGCGTTTGATCTCACACACTTCCTATCACCTATGGAGTACAGACTGACGTATCTCAACTGAGCCCACCGTGGCTTCCTTCCTTTCAATCGTTGATTCCATCTATCTGCCCAACACCAGACTTACACTTGTGAGAACAGGAGAAGAAAGCATGGCAGAGAACTAAAGACTGCGGAAAGCTAGAAGTAATCGCAATAAACGCTCCTAAAACAGCGGTTGAGCACGCTTTTAGATACTGGTTTGGTTGTCTAACTGGTAATAACCCCCCCCCCCCCCGGTGATATATTCCCTGCCCAGGAAACATTCTTCTCCACTAGTTCCACTGATGCCAGAGCCCTAAATGCAATCCTCCTAAAGCAGTGTTTCTCAACCTTGACAATTTTAAGGCATGTGGACTTCAACTCCCAGAATTCCACAGCCAGCATTTCAACCTTGACAATTTTAAGGCATGTGGACTTCAACTCCCAGAATTCCACAGCCAGCATTTCAACCTTGACAATTTTAAGGCCTGTGGACTTCAACTCCCAGAATTCCACAGCCAGCATTGCTGGCTGTGGAATTCTGGGAGTTGAAGTCCACAGGCCTTAAAATTGTCAAGGTTGAGAAACACTGTCCTAAAGCAACGGGCCATACAGCTTCAGCTACGAAACTACTCCAGCTTTTCCGCAAAACGTGCCGGTTAAAATGAAAAAAAAAAAAAAAAAGGCACCAAGAGGGAAGCCGACAACCTATCAAAACAAAGCCAACGGCGGTGTGGCCTGAATCTAGCAAGCCAATTGGTCGCTCTACAATCGACCAGCAACCTCTCCGCCCCATTGACTTGGGCTTGCTTCTTTCCCTTCCACCCAATCGCGGATGCAAACGAAAGCGAGGAGGCAACGTTGTTTTACTGCGCAGGGCCAAGGTGCCTTTGGCCGGGTGGGTTGCCGGTCGGGGTTTCTGGCCGTCCGGCGACCTCGGGGCGATTGCCGGTCGGAAGCTGCCGCTGAAAGCGGGACTTTGAGTCGCCCCGTTGTGGGGGCTCGTCCGATGGAAACGCCGGGTGTCTTGGACGGACTCCAGTCCCGGTGGTTCCCTGGCGGCGCGAGGCGGACCCCGCGGCGTTTTGGTTGGGTATTTCCTACGACTGTGCTGTGCGGCTACGGTTTCTTTGCCAACTTGCGACCGTCGGAACCTTTTCTCACGCCTTATTTGTTGGGACCGGACAAGAATCTCACCGAGACCCAGGTGAGAGATCTGCTCTAATTCTAATTTGAAAGTGCTTTTTCAACAGGCAACTGGACTTTTGTTTTTTTCCTGGAGGACGTCTCTTTTTGTCATCCAAGAAGCTTCTTCCGCTCTGACTGAATGGGGGAGGATGGAAGAATGGAGGGCACAGGTAAACCTTCACCTGGCCTCATCGACTCTCGGAAAGGATGCTAATGGGCGTGTTGAAGGAGAAGTCTTCATCGGGGTTCAGTCCGAGCCGGGGATAAACAACATGACGACTGCTTTAGAAAGAAGGTTGCAGTTTATTGAAGAGGAGAGCCAGACAGAAAGATAGCTCTGGAACAGGGGTTCTCAACCTTGGCCACTTTAAGACTTGTGGACTTCAACTCCCAGAATTCCTCAGCCAGCAAAGCTGGCTGAGGAATTCTGGGAGTTGAAGTCCACAAGTCTTAAAGTAGCCAAGGTTGAGAACCCCTGCTCTGGAAGAAAAAAGAGAAGAGCACATGTAGGGAGTGGGTTTTTATACCCTCTGGGGCTCTTGAGGTTGTTTCCTGTTCATTTGAGGCTTTGTATTTCCTGTGTCATGTACTTTGACCTGAGTGTGAGTGTGCCCCTTTGGCATCTGTGGGTTAATCCTATTATGTCCTGTCTTAAGAGTTTGGGCGGGGTATGTAGATTTTAGGTGTCTTTGTCTTCCTAAGCTTCTAGCTGGAGGGCTACAACCTTCCTGAATGGATTATTACATTTGCATTTCTACAGAGCTGGTTTCTGCTTGGGGGAGAGAGACATGGGGCTATTAAGAAAACTGGGCATGCTTTTCTGCCTCTTTAGGATCCTTTGAGGAAATAATATAATATTCTGCCCTTTTAATATTTCCTTCTCTGGGGGGACTGACTTCCTGCAAGTGGATGACTGCAAGGAATATAAATCCGTCTTCCACCATTCAGTCGGAACTGAAGAAGCTTCTTGGATGAAAAGCACAACATTCTCAAGGAAAAACAAAGTCTAGTTGTCTTTTGAAAAAGCACTTTTTGGGACAATCGTGACCTGGATGACTGAGAATCTCCATAGACACTTCTGTAATTGGGTTTTCTGGATTTCTTATTCTGTAGGAATAGATTTGTTACTTGTGGTTTTGACATTCCTTTATAGGGAAAGTGGTGTACAACATATACAGGGAACCTTTATCGAATGTTTATTTTACGTTTGGCAGTTGTGTAGCCCACAATTTATGGTTTAAAGATTCATGCTCGTCTTTTGGGGTTGAGTGAAGTGCTTCAACTTGTAAAATCAGAATTGCCTGCTATGTGAAATTGTGGGAAAGAGGAAAATAGCATAATGGGCTGGAGAGGAATGTGGCACAGGATAAATAGCAACAATTATATCTGGGATCTTTGTCTATAGAGCTCTGTCCTCTGATTGGAAGGGGCAGAGTTATTCTTTTCCAATCAGCTTCATTTTCAATGATCAGGTAGTACCATAACCTCTCAACTGTAATTTAAATTAATTTAGATTGAATGTAAGTTTTATTCAGCTCTGATGTCTTGACCCTGGCTCCACCTATTTTTTGGGAAAACACTTCCATCATGGCCTACTTGGCTTTAGCCACAAAGAAATACAAAGAAATTACTTCTGATTTTCTTTTCAACAATTATAAAGATAAGTTTAAATTGACCTCTTACTCTGAGGTTCCAACATTACTTTCATTTTTTCTAATCATCCAAACCCCATATATCATAATTTTATTTTTTTCTGTCTCACACAAGAAGTCAAAAAGGGGTTTCCAATCAGCATTAAAATTAATCAGTGTCTTTTCTCTAATCAGAGCTGGCAGTTTTGCCATCTGAGCACATTCCATCATCTTCGCAATCCATTCTTCCATTGTGGATATTGTCAAATATTTTCACTACAGTGCATATAAACAAATGTCTGGCTGCTGTTATTTATATATAAAAATAAAGTTTAGTGAGGGTTTTTCCCCCCATGCTTTCGTCTATCAGAGCATACTTTTGTCAAAAGAAACACCTCTGGCTTCAGTTATATATTAATGTTTAAAATATTTCTGAATTACTAATATATTTTTTAGTTTTCCGTGTGTCCATCAAACATGATTAAAAAGTTTCATTCACATTTCCAACATAAATTTGAAATTCCTTCATACATTTTGGACAACTATTCTAGTCACAAATACAAATGATACATCATTTTATAAAAGTTGTATTTAAGATGTGTGAATTTCAGTCCTTTCATTCACCTATTCTCCCATTGTACCATTTGTATATTATAACCAACATTTCTATTCTGTTTGGTCATATATTCTTTCACTTGTTTTTTCATTTCAAATTTTAATAAAAGTTTATATATGTTAGCAATTATATGTTCATCATTTACAGTGTATATGTAATTCTGTTTTAAATTTATTCTTAATTCAAAACCAATATATGTATATATATATATATATAATGAGAATTTTCCATTTTATAAAGATAATATCTTTTTTTTTGTAGGTCTTCAATGAAATTTATCCAGTATGGACATACTCTTATTTAGTGCTGCTGTTCCCAGTCTTCTTGGCCACAGATTATCTCAGATACAAGCCTGTCATCCTTCTGCAAGGACTAAGCCTTATAGTAACATGGTTTATGCTTCTGTACTCCCAAGGAATTCTAGCTGTTCAGTTCCTAGAATTCTTTTATGGATTAGTGACTGCAACAGAAATTGCTTATTACTCTTACATTTATAGTGTTGTGGACTTGAACTTGTACCAGAAAGTCACAAGCTACTGTCGAAGTGCTGCCCTTGTGGGCTATACCGTGGGCTCTGTCTGTGGACAAGTCCTAGTATCTGTTGTAGGCTGGTCCTTGTTCAGTTTGAATGTGGTGTCACTTACTTCTGTATCTGTTGCCTTTGCAATAGCTTGGTCTCTGCCTATGCCCCAGAAAAGCTTTTTTTTCCACCATCATTCAAGCCTCCAGGCCAGTAAAATGAAGGTTCTAAGTTATAAAAATGGAACAATTATCCAACATGATCCTGCCTTAAAGAAGGTTCCCGGGTTGGAAGATGTGGAATTGAAGATTCCATTAAATATAGAAGAGTGTCCTGCAGATGAGCAGGTAAGTACTACTGCTTTAGCATTGGGTATGTAGAAAAATACAGTCTGCCATTGAGCACTTGTTTTCAATTGGATTAATTGGATCAATAGCCTGTTCTCCTTTGATGCTTCTGCTTGATCATTTCAAATTCTGATGATAGTTTAATCATAGTTGTGTTGGTGAGATCCTATTGCCTGCCAAAATAAAGACATTTCAGAATATAGACAAACCAAATATGCCAATATGCACAAATAATCTATTTGGGGGAAAAGGCAATTTTTGAACAAAAAATGTGATCCATTTACCTTGGAAGACAGGTTCCTAGCAATATAATAATAGATTCTTCCAAGAAGAGTTAAGAAAACTATGGCTAGTCTTAACCCAGTGCAATCTAGACATCATTTAATGAAAATCTAATAATGTTAAGGATTAATTGGGATGGAAAAAGGGTCATATTGCCATTTACATAAGCTTAGCTGGCATGGTTAGAACAGGTAGAAAGGCTTTTCATTTTGCTACTTGTCTGATTCAGAACAAAACTCCTCTAACCACATTACACATAGTCCTTGGGTTAGAATAGCTGTTGGGACCAGAAATTTTGTCACTAAACAATGCAGCCATAAAGCATAAAGCATGGTGTCCTGTGACCATGCCACTTAGCAATGGCAGTTTGAGGACCTCACAGATCGTTAAGCAAGGACCTCATGTGATTGTGGCTTTCAACTTCTTTCTGGCTTCCCCGCTGACTGCTTGTGGAATGCTAGCAGGGAAGATCACAAATTGCAGTCACATGACTGCAGAATGCTGCAATGGTCAGAAATTTGAGCAGGTTGCCAAGTGTCCGGATTATGATCATATGAGACCATAGGGCTGCTGCAATAGCCAGAACTTCAAGGACTGGTCATGTACCACTTATTTAGCATCACAAGTTCAAATGGTCACTGACTGAATGCTTGTTAAATGAAGACCACTGTACTGAAAGATTTTGTGAAAAATACTCTACATATCTCACTTTGCTCTACACAATATCGAGTGTGAAAAGAACACTTGAATTTTTTATGTTGATTGTAATCATGGCGATCCTTTGAGAGAGCCTATGGTTTTTCGTTTATAGAAAGTAATTAAGGTACTGAGAAGTACCATTCACATAGCAACAAGGTCATTAATGTGGGAGAGATCAGTGATATGAATACCAAACTTTGTTGTTCAAAACTATCATATTTAGAGTGCCACTAACTTTCTTATCCAACTATATTGTAAATGTTTGCCCACACCGAGCTGAAACAAAGGTATTATTTGCACATGCTAAGTAGTCAAAGCTAAAATAGATGGCCTATTACTTCTGCAACAGTTGGTGATAGTTTTCTTGTTCACCATTTCCATTATTATCAAGCATAGCTTAGCTGTCACATGTTATTCAGACTTTTTATGGATTTTTTCAACAGATTATTAAACCTGTCCATTTGTTTCATTTGTTTTTAAGATGGTAAAAGGAAAGATAGCTTTTGTAGAACCACACAAAATAATGTTTGAACTTGCTTAGATTTTTATGAAATGAAGATAGTTAGTTGTACTGTATGCTTCTGAATTGGGAGCCTGTCTGACGCTGAAAGAAAAAAAATATCTTTACGCATGGAGTGAATACCAACTTCAGAATATATCCTCCAGCGTAACATCAAATGATTGCATAAATGTTACTGTACTCATAGTTTAATTTAGTAAAAAGGTCCCAGACAATGGAAAGACATATAGGAAGAGGGAAGCAATGTATCAGCCCTTTTACAATTTAAAACCTGTGTAGGATTATTGATTGGCAGAATTGGTAAGAATCTTCCCACATTCAGTGGAATACAAAGCTATATTAAGTGTTACTTCCTATTACCGTATTTCATTCAGTAATAGAAATAAACAAAAAAAAAGAGTTAATAGCATACTTCAGTAAGCAGAACTATGGCCAGAGGGTGATTTGCTCTGTGGAAAAGCATTCACAAATGAAAAGTATCCATGTTTGCCACATAGGAATGATCGTTGTATAGAGAACTATACAAAGCTCCAGCACTTTCTCTGTACTTATTTATTTATTTATTTATAATTTAATTTGTATCCCGCCCTTCTCCTCACCGGACTCAGGGCGGCTAACAGCCTTATAAAACCACAGTACAATAAATATCCATATTAAAACCAAATTAAAAGAAAATATTCGAAAAGGCCAATCGTTAAAATTACCCTTAAAATTACTTAAGGAGAAATGAGAACACTCTGTGATATTTGTTATGATTTCTCCCAGAATATATGAATAATATTCTTAGAGTTTATCTGGATCTGTACTATTCCAGTTGTACCATGATAGATATAAAGGACAATTCTGGTATATTTTATTTTGAATTTTTTAATTTAATCTCAACAGGAGCAAAAGGTGAACATCATGAAGGGAATCAAAGAACTCTGGCAGGACCTCTTACAGTGTTACTCTTCCTGGCCTCTGCTGTGCTGGTCTGTATGGTGGGCCCTGTCAACATGTGGCTATTTCCAAGTGATCAATTATGCTCAAGGCATGTGGGAAATTGTGCTGCCTTCTCAGACCTCTGAGATCTATAATGGTGCTGTGGAAGCAGTTTCCACGTTGTTGGGTAAGCTGTTTCTTAACTTGGCTTTCTTCTGATCAATGAAGCATATTAATTCCATTTTGGAATTGTCAGAACTAATATTTACTAATTTGTATAAAGAGCATTTTGTCTAAGAGCACTCTACTACTGTTGCTGTTAACTGAATTCATGTGATATTGTTTTTATTAGCAATTTAGTCGTAATAGTTTTGAACTATTATGTGGAGATGATAGTATTTATAGAGCCTTCTGGAGAAGATATCCACCTATATATACTTAAAGCAGTTTGGTCATATTCATGTGTATACATTTTCAGTGTAATGGCAACTGAAACAGTATAGTTATGGCTAAACAATCTTTATTATGCAATATTTTGAGTAACAATTTTACCAGCTAGATTAGGAAGTATCTTACATAAACCAAATCCACATGCATTATTCTCACTTCTGATGCCCATCATCATAAACTGTTTTGGATTCTGGCTTGTTATAAGGGACCAGTAAATTGCTTTAGAAAACAAGTATAAAGCAGAAGTTGCATTTCAACTCCACACTGAAATTACATACAGGTAGTCCTTGATGTTCAGAATAAAGACAGCCCCCCTCACCCCCAAATTTACTTACAATCTGATTTTGAAGTTCTGATGCCGCCCTCCCCCATCCTGTGACAATATTTTGGGTACTCAGCAAATAGCCGTTTGCAGCACCTCATGGTCATATAATCATGATATACAATGGTTTTGCAGCATTTACTTCCAGTAGTGAACAATAGGCTTGCTTAATAGCTGATGTATTTACTTAATGACCACCACAAAAATCATAAAATTGGGTTCAAGCACAACGTATGACTATAATTGGCCATAACCCAAGGACTACCTGTAATTGACTCACCCTCTAAATCACAACAAATCCTAGTTTCCTTATTTCTGCTAATGTAAACTTAAGTAGCAAACACTTAACAAAGCTATTACTGACTTTATTTTCTGATTTTGATCTCTCGAAGATTCCCTTGAAAAGTATTCAAAATATATAGTATACTGGACATAATTATTCTTGCATTCTAACTTGTTTGAATTTTACATTTATAGGTGCTGTGGCTGTATTTGCTGTGGGACACATAAAAATATCTTTTCTTACTTGGGGTGAAATAATCTTAGCTATGTTCTCCTTCTTCATTGCTGCAGCTGTGTATATCATGGACACTGTTCGTAACATTTGGGTGTGCTATGCCTCCTACATGGCATTTCGAATTGTCTATATGCTACTCATTACAATTGCAACGTAAGTACTCGCTTCCATATTTTACCAGTTTATAAATTTTAAATCTTGCCATTGCTCATTTATCATACACATATGATGAGACTACAAATCCCAGAAATTCTAAATAATCTAATGAGAGTGCTGCCCCAGTACATATGGAATGTACCATGTTAAGGGATGTTGTCATAAGGATTTCAGAATAGATTCATTGTGTTTTTCTGAAAACTTCAGTTCTGCCACAATAAAGCTATAAAATAGCCAAATAGCTAGAATAGATTTGAACTGTGTTTTCAACGTGGTGATTTACAACATAAGAAAAATCAGTGAATTTGTTTAGTTAAAATGGGGCTGTAAGTTGGGGATGTCAGGAAATGTATCTATTATCTTATAAATTTGTTGTAAATTTGCTGCCTGTGAGAACCACATTTCTGGAACCTCTAAGCTGAGCAGATGTTGGACTCGTACACTAAACTTACACGGGAGCAGATGAGGAACCTTTTTAAATGTCAAGATAAATATGGGGAGTGCTGCATATCTGAAGGCTGAAACTGAATATCAGTTTGTGAAAAAGAAATTATTTGTGGGTGTATATAGTACTTTTTATAATCTAAAAGTTATTGATTGATTGTGATAGACCCAACTGACCTTCTGATCCTCAGACTTCCAGAGAAGACCTTTCTTCATTCCAGAAAGGCATTTAATACTATAATGATTGCTGCATTGCTTGACTTTATTCTCATCCACAGCTATTTGGTTCTTTTGAGCTCTGTTCGGGTTTAACTGAACCTTCCTCTTACTCATTACACATCCTAGCTCTTTTCTTCCAGTATGTATGACTTTTATATAATTCTGAAAGCCATTGTTTCCTTTAAGTTTGTGGCTTTTAATATTCCTGTACCTCATCAGTTCTCCCCAAATTGAATTTCTGCTGTGGTTATTATTCTCTTTATAGCTTTTATCTAGAGGACACTAAATTACTGAAAGAAGTTCAATTGCTTTGAATTTCCCTTTGATAGTAGGAAGAGAAATGTTATTTTAGTTTGTGGATTAATGAATTAAGTTCCTATATAACAGAATAGGGACAACCAATGCCATTTGTGGCAACCTATCTTACTCCCCAAACTTGATCTACTTGTCTTAAAAATGCTCTATGTACAGTAGGAAGAAATAGGAGCGTTTTCTTTTTTTTTGCATAAAGCAGAAAAATGTGCTCCTTATATCCTGCTTCACTTCCCCTGTGTCTACAGCCCGGGGAAATAGGATACAGCTTCAGTACAAGGAATGGTGCTTTGGGGAAGGGGCTATCCATTTTCTAAACCCCAATACCTTATATCAGCTGAGCCTTCTGGGAATAGAAGATACAGAGATAAGGCATAAGAGGAAATAAAACAGCAGTTTCCTACCTCATATGTTCTCTTTGAGGTTCAGAAAGATCTGTGTGTGAAATGAATGGAACTCATAATAAAAAATTTATATAACCAATGTAGTTACATTTTGATGATCACCTGCAGGTGATAAATGAAATGTGTTGTTTCTTTAAATTCATTCTTCTTTTCTTTTTGTGAAGGTTCCAGATTGCTACAAATCTAAGTGTAGAACGCTATGCCCTTGTATTTGGGGTTAACACTTTTATTGCACTGGCATTGCAGACAGTACTCACATTGATAGTTGTTGATGCAAAAGGTCTTGGCCTTGATATAGTTACACAGGTAAGATTCATTCATTTTGATTGGGTGGGAAGAGAATAGACGGCTTTCCATAACCTGTTACCTTGCAGAGGAGTTAGACTTCAGTTCTCATAAGCTCCAGGCAGCAAATATTCTCCAGTATCCACATGACTCCAGAAGCAGTGAATGCTCCAACACTGGAAGTTTTTAAGAAGGGACTGGACAGCCATTTGTCTGAAATGGTATAGGGTTTCCTGCCTGAGCAGGGGGTTGGACTAGATGACCTCCAAGGTCCCTTCCAACTTTTTATTATTATTATTATTATTATTATTATTATTATTATTATTATTATTATTATTATTATTATTATTATTATTATTATTATAATAAAAAGGCTATCTTCAAGTATATTGAAAATGTGAGAGGCCCGATAAGTTGCTTTTCGAGGGTAAAAAGTACATTGCCCCCTATATATTGGGATATAATTTTTTTTACATTCTTAATACAGATCAGAATTTCTATTTTTAGACATATTGAACTGCCAGGATGTTCAACAGATGCAATAATGCCAATTATAATTTATGTTTAGTTTAAAGTTGAATTGCCACATGGCTTTGACTTCCTTTTTAACATTCCTGGAAATACACTAATAAAATATAGAGGAGGTAAACAGAATACAATCTAATTTGCTTTCTGTCATCACAAATTGTGACCCATGTAGCTCATGTCTATACATGAGAAGGAACAGATTTCAGCTCAGCCCTGACAAGACTGAGTGGCTATGGCTGTTTGGGCATCCAAGGTCAGCGACATTTTCTGCACTTTCTCATTTGAGACTGGTGCACAACTTGGGAGTCGTCTTTGAGTTACAGCTACTGTTTAAGTGGCAGCTAAGACCAGGAGGTCCTTTGCATATTGTGCAGCAGTTTGCCCGTTACTTGACCAGAAGTCCTTTCAGACAGGTATGCCCTAATCACCTCATGATTGGACTATTGCAGTGCCTCTATATGGACTGCCCTTGAAGATCATCAGAAACTGTAGCTGGTCTAAAATGTATTGGTATCAGCAGTAACAGGTGTTAATGTATGCCCAGTTGTCATTGCTGCTATGAGCTGCGTAGGCTGCCACTTAGCTTCTAGGTGCAACTCAAAGTACTGGTCATCACCTATACAGTCCTTCATAACATAGGATCTGGTTATCTACTGGATTAACTATCTCTAATAATTTCTGTCCACTTGGAATGGGTACATTCCAGAGTAAATGTTACGATCTTGGAGTGAGGAGGTGTGCCTTTTCTGTTACATCCCCTATCCTCTGGAATAGCATTCCTTCAGACATATGTAAGGCACCCCTTCTCTTAGAGTTCTGAAAGCATTTATGACCTGGCTGTATTCCCAGATCTGGGGTTAGCAAAGCCCCTAACGGTACTAATATCTTTTCCTCTTGGCTGCTATGCTCTGTTATTACATTTTTAATTGTTTTGGGATGTTGTAAGCTGCCCAGAGTCTTCTGGAATGGAATGGCTATAATAAATCTAATAATTAATGATCCTTGAGACAGAAGATCTAAAAGGTGCTTTTCCAGGTGTGTTTAAAATATTCACAGCAAATTAAGTTATTTTTAATCTGTCTCATGATTGTACCTTCTATGAGAGAAGTCAGTGAACATTAACTTCTGCTTTTACTAAACTTTCTTTTGTTTTTTGTAGTTCATGATCTATGCTGGTTATTTTGCTGTCATAGCAGTATTGTTCCTGATAAGTGGCACATATAGTATTATCAAGAATTTCTGGACAAAGGAAAGGAGAAGAAATGATGCTGTTGCAGATGACACTTAAAATACAAAGTATGAGCTAATTTGATACCTGGTGGGGTAAACCTATTTTTAAATATAATGGTTCATATTTATGCAACTATTGTTACTTTAAAACCACTATCTGTATTGTATTTGACTCTATTTGTACTATATTAGTAGCATATGCTCAAAGTAGAATATATTTATCTTATATAAGTAAGAATGCTGGATTTAACAACATAGTGTCAACGTGCCTTTTGTGGACCAAGTCTACATGGGGAGAATTTTTTTCTATTTTTTTTCTGTTGCCAGACCATAAAACTGTAAATGGAAAGTGATGATTTTGTTAAAACATAGCCTAGCTATGCTTTCAGTGTTCTTTATATGTTGACTTCTAGAAGCCTAGAACTGTGAGGCACTTGATAGAACTGCAATCAGCAACATCCTTTCAAACTAATTGGCCATGGCAGGATACTGCTCAGGTTTAGTAGTTGCACATTCTGCTAGACCTTTCTATATATACAATCAAAATATTTTTAACTCTAGAATGATTTTGGTAAATTTAAAGGTTTTAGTTCTCTCTTGCTGCTTTCCCTGATTTGCTGACTTCATGGTCAACTGTATATCTTGATTCATTGATACTATAAGGTAATGATAAACAGAAGCAGAAAACCTCCTGGGATTCAAAAATAGTTTGTCATTTGGATAATTTTATTGGTCATATTAGGCTTTTCAGCTTCTCCAAAGAAACTCTTAAATTTATGTATTTACGCTGTTGCTAGTAGACTTTCACAATGTCTAAGTAAAAGAAATGGCAGCTATATCATTCTGCATTATCTGTTCAAGTAATATAAATTATCTTGATTGCTGTTTCTGCCAGTAATAATTGTATTTTTTTTAAGTGTGGAACAAATGGATACAACAATACCAGATAGGACATCATTACTCTGATTGTTTTTGGTGTTTTCTAATAAACCCATAATTTGGATTTATTAAAATCCTCGGGGGTGATTTCTGGAGCCTTCTGGAGTTACTGTATTTTCCGGCGTATAAGACGACTTTCTAAACCCTGAAAATCTTCTCAAAAGTCGGGGGTCGTCTTATACGCTCAGTCTTATACGCTGGAAAATACGGGTATTCTATTTTATTCCTTTACACATGTGGTTTGGCATATTACTCATCAAGTTTTCTCTCCCCCCCCTCGCTCAAACTCTATATTTTAACTGGAAAAGTTGGGGGTCGTCCTGTACGCCCAGTCGTCTTATACGCTAGAAAATACGGTACCTAAGTAGACTGTAGATATTTTATAATCAGTAAGAAACTGCAGAAGAACACCGGCAGTTCTATTTATCCTTTAAATTTAGAGAAGAAAGATTTCATATGTATTTTTTGGTTTTTTATGTTGAGTTACCTGTTTTTTTTATTCCCTTCTTGCCCAGTTACATTGTTTATATTTCATGTAAATGGATAGCAAATCATAAAATTGAATAAATCCATAAACAGCAGTATTTACTTCGGGGTGTTGGAGTAATTGCTAAAAATACTAACCCTGGCCACATGATGAAAAAGCTACATGTGAAAAGTTACATTTTGTTCATTGGTGGTCAGTATATACTCACCTAGGAAATTATTCAGCAACTGTTTGGAGTTATGACAGCACTGAGCAAATGGTGTTTATTACAAATTCTCAAAGTTCTGGCCACCCCAGCACCCCATAATTGTGTTTGCACTTAGAATAGTTGCAGCATCCCACATTCATGTGATCGCTATTTGTAGCTTTCCTTGATGCCTTCCCACAACAAAGTTAATGAGCAGGGAAGGTTGCAAGATGCTTTTATAAATTGCTCACCCTCCTACATCTTTTTTTCTGGAGAAGCCTAAGTACCCTCTTTTATCTGACAGCAGCCACTCAGTCCTACCACTCTTGCACACTGATCAGCAGCCACCCCTGGTCCCTCTATGCCAGTGGTTCTCAACCTGTGGGTCGGGACCCCATTTGGGGTCGATCGACCATTTCACGGGGGTCGCCAAGCAAGGCTGTCCGCCATTTTTTTTGTCTGCCATTTTTTCCCCCCTTTTCCGGTGGGTGCCTTACCTCCCTTGGGCTGGGCCAGCTGGTGGTCGGCCTGCTCCGTCTCTGCCACTTGCCAGCTACGCCTCGGCCAGCGCAGGGGGCGGAACCACGCATGCGCGGCGCTCCCGGGCAGGGAAAGTCCTTGACTTACGACCGGTTGGGTAGTCCTCTACTTACGACCGGTTTAGTCCTCGACTTACGACCGGTTTAGTCCTCGACTTACGACCGGCTGGGGTCACGGCATTAAAAAGGTTGAGAACCACTGCTCTATGCTCATGTAGCATCCACTTACCTCCCCCCTCCCCCAGCTTGCTTATGAGGTGCCTGGGACTTGCAATTTCCTGCTGGCTTCCCTGTGGACTTTGCTTATTGGAAGCTGGTAGGAAATCATGAGGAAATCTTTGCTTAACGGTCCACAATCCTCAGTTAATTACAGCAACACGTTGAGGTTGCTGTTGTTAAGTGATGTGGTCATACAATGTTGCACTTTATAACTGCCTTGCTTAGCAAGGGAAATTCTGGTCCCAATTACCATCATTAAGCAAGGACTACCTGTATTTATAGTTGTATCTCATGTGAATGATTTTCAGTAAGGAAGTGTTTTCCTACCAAATAATTTTAATATGTGTGAAGAAGTCCATATTTATAAACCTGTTTAAAGTGGGACTGTTCAGGTGGCACCAACTAATTGACCTAGACTGATCTTAAAAAGCTGGTCCAGTATTGGATAGGAGGTACTGAAAAATCCTCAACCGTAGCCTAGGCTGGGAATCTGAAAATATCCCAAAAGGCAGCAACAAGGTACTGTATTTCTACATTATTGCTAAAAAATTCAAGGACTTGTCTATAGAATCAGAAACTGAGCTCAGTTCAATGGAGTCTTTTATCTTTTTTTCTGCCAAACTTGTAATATTTTCTCATTCAATGCTATTTTTGCCCTATTAGATTTTATTGTAATACTTGGGAGTATTACAGTTCCCAAAGTATGAATATAAAAACTGGCAAACTGAAAAATTCAGAAGAACGCCAATTACCCATTCTTGGTTAAAGCCACAATGTCACACAACACTCATTGTTATAACACTGCATTGTAATTTTTTTTGTGACAGTTTCTACTTTGGAAGTTAATCTTATGAAAACGTCCAAGAAACTTTCTTGACTCACAAAGAGAACATCTTCCCTTCAACTATTCATATAACCAACATACATAATTTTAATTATAATTTAAAATATAATTAAAATTGTATGTACTTCAGCCCTTCGTGTTTCTCTTGATAAGTAAAGGTTGATATAGTAACTGTGAAACTTCATTTATGTAAAGGATATTGGTAGTGGATGAATTATGACACTTTCCTTGTTTGAGAATAGCTGTGTGAACGCACAAACACACACATGGGGAAAATTATGCCATATTAATAACTAATATTAATACAGTCCGCTCTTTTTGAGGATATATGTTTTTTGCATTAATATAATCACATTACGGTACAGTGTTTTAAAGAGAAGTTTCCTTCTCAAAGTAAAAATAGCAGGAAAGTTAAATAAAAATATCTTGATAGGAAAAAATATTTTAATCAAACTGTAAAACTATTTTAAACAAATAAAGATATTTGATAATTTAAAAGTTTGTCTTTCATCATTTTTGCAACAATAATTCTAATATATATCATTTAAAACAGGGGTCCCTAACCCCTGGTCCGTGGGCTAGTACTGGGCCGCGGCATGCCAGAAATTGGGCCACGCAAACAATTGAAGACCCATCCACAGGATGCAGGAAATACGCAAAACCACACCCCGTCTGGTCCATGAAAAAACTTCTCCACAGAACTGGTCCCTGGTTCCCCAAAGGTTGGGGGCCACTGATTTAAAAATCATCGACATCCTCTTATACTCCTATAGAATTGTGCAGTGTTTTCCAAAATTTGTATCTTGATTCTTTATCATGCATTACTGTAGTACCGGCCCATGGATTCTAGCTTTCGTATGCAACTATAACCTTGATTACATATAATATATAATATATACTTTCTGATACGTACTTTAGCATTTTACTTCCTAGCATATATAAATCAGTTCCACTCCAAAAGATCAGAACAATTTTATTTATATCTCTTCTCTTAAGATTTAAATGATCAGCCTGCACCAATACAAGTACAGGCCACTGACTATTTCTAAAGGCAGGCATGCACAACAGCATTGCATTCTCTACGTTTCCCAGTCCACCAAAAAGGCAATTTCTGCTATGCATTCACAGTTTTTTCCCCTTATGTTGCTTATGTGCAGCATGTACTTCATTTCATTATACAAGTAGACAAATATCACCATTCCAATAGGCTACTATCCATGCTGGCAGAAATGCCCCCCTCCAGTCATTAATAAAGAAGGGAATCTACCAATTGGAAGCTGTGGCAAACGGAGTTCAGACAACATGAGACCTTGATTGACCACAGTGAGGAAGGGGTTAAAAATCTGGAAAGGGATTTATTAAGTTGGTTTTATTTCCAATCAGTTTAAGAACAGGAGATCAGCAATTTAAACATATGTGAAATGTAGAGCAGAAAAGCTCTAAATTTCGCAGATGCTTAAACTGCTGATCTCCGGTTCTTAAACTGATTGGAAATAAAACCAACTTAATAAATCCCTTTCCAGATTTTTAACCCCTTCCTCCTTTAGAGCTTTAGAAAAGCTCTAAATTTCACATGTGGACTTATTACCTTCCTTCCTTCCCTCATTTACCCTCATAGTCCAAATTGAAATTTTCTTGATACTATGATTGTCATCAGGCAGCTGTCTGTATGGTCAACTGAGGTTTTGACACAATATGTTTTAGTAAGACAAGAGGTTGGATCAGGTTACCAGTCTTAGCTACAAATGTACCAAATGCAGCCATCCCCACTAGATGTCAAGATAGTAACAATCAATTCTGGAACATTTTGGCCAGTGTGGCATAAGTAGAACCAAACATCTTCATGCTATTATATGCCAACCAGGATCTCTAATCTAGCAAGACCTTGCAAGTCGATATACAGTACCGTTGCCTGTAACCCACCAACTAAAACAGTGGTTCTCAACCTGTGGGTCGGGACCCCATTTGGGGTCGATCGACCATTTCACGGGGGTTGCCAAGCAAGGCTGTCCGCCATTTTTTTTGTCCGCCATTTTTTCCCCTTTTCCGGTGGGTGCCTTACCTGCCTTGGGCTGGGCCAGCTGGTGGTCGGCCTGCTCCGTCTCTGCCGCTTGCCAGCTACGCCTCGGCCGGCGCAGGGGGCGGAACCACGCATGCGCGGTGCTCCCGGGCAGGGAAAGTCCTCGACTTATGACCAGTTGGGTAGTCCTCGACTTACAACCGGTTTAGTCCTCGACTTACGACCGGTTTAGTCCTCGACTTACGACCGGTTGGGGTCACGGCATTAAAAAGGTTGAGAACCACTGAACTAAAAGATGTATGTAGTATATTAACACAGCCCGACACGCGCACTTGAGAGGAACGTGCACTCAGGACTCCTCAGACAAATAAAATGTTATTTTCTCAAGTTACAACCCAATCTGCACCATTGGCCACCCCCTCCGTTAGTTTGTTAGCCGTTACTCCGCACAAATGCAAATTTAAACCACGTACGCCCAGTAACACATTTCACAGATAATTCTCCACCATTGCAAGCGCTTTTCCCGCCTACGCGCCTCTTCAACTCTTTCCGTAGCGCAGGGGTAGGCAACCTTGGCTCTTTTATGACTCGTGGACTTCAACTCCCAGAATTCCTGAGCCAGCACGGCTGGCTCAGGAATTCTGGGAGTTGAAGTCCACGAGTCATAAAAGAGCCAAGGTTGCCTACCACTGCCGTAGCGGCACAAGGGTTCGGCTGAATCTGTTATTTGTTCTATATCGGGAGATCGTCCTGCCCCCGGTTTCCATGGAGACGGGAAGCGTGGCGCGCGGCAGAAGTGCCCCGTTTGATCCTTTACAGCCGCCGTCCTCTGCTCGGTGAGTGGTGGGGGAGACCTCGGAGACATGGCAGGACGCCGGTGGGTGCAGCAGTTACCATGACGACGCCATGGCGGGCGGGTCACTGCTCAGCGCCGTCCACAGGTGGAGATGAGAGGGGAAGGCGCGACCGGGTTTGGAGAGCCGGCGCTTAGAGAGTGGAAAGGGCCTTGAGGTTATGACGGGCGGGCTCTTCCATGGCAAGCAAAGCCCCGAGCTTCGAACGAAGCAAACCCTTCGCTTCCGACTTTTCAATGGCCGAGCCAACTTTAGCCGCATCGCAAGGGACTCGTCTTTTTCTCTCACCCTGGATTCAACAGACTTATATGCAAAAACAAAGCCTCCCACCGTTAAGGCGGTAATCACACCCAGCGACAAAGCCCTCAAGACTGTCGAACTTGCAACAGAACCCCCCTTCGAGCCTGCCCTTGTTTCGGCGAGGATCAAAGCGGAGGTGGCGATTGCCATGGCGACAGGTTGAAAGACTTGGCTTACTTTTTAGTCTCCTCCCCTTCAGACGCTTAACGAGCCTGGCCGGCATCAAGCCATAATCTGCAAATTATGCCCGCCCCCCCCCGCCAAATCTCTCTGTTCGGGACTATACGACTGGATTCCAGAATTGGTTGGGTTTGAAAGGAAAGGTTTTATCGTTTGCCTCAACGTACGTGGCAAGCCTACAGTGGGAAAAGGTCAACCTCTTCTCCAAAGCACCTGAGGGCAGGACCAGACATAAGGATGGAAACCTATCATGGAGAGATCCAACCTAGAACTAAGGAAAAATGACCTGAGAGTGAGAACAATTAACCAATTTATTAAGGCACCGCTTGCCTTAATAAAAGACAAGTTGCAGTTCGATCAGATTAACACATGAGTCAGTTACTGCTACTGCAGTATGTACTGCTACAGTACATGTACTGCTACTGCAGTACATGTACATGTACTGCTACTGCAGTAGCTACATGTACATATACATGTACTGCTACTACATGTACTGTACATGTACTGCTACTACATGTACTGTACATGTACATGTACATGTACTGCTACTACATGTACTGTACATGTACATGTACATGTACTGCTACTACATGTACTGTACATGTACTGCTACTACATGTACTGTACATGTACTGCTACTACATGTACTGTACATGTACATGTACATGTACTGCTACTACATGTACTGTACATGTACATGTACATGTACTGCTACTACATGTACTGTACATGTACTGCTACTACATGTACTGTACATGTACTGCTACTACATGTACTGTACATGTACTGCTACTACATGTACTGTACATGTACATGTACTGCTACTACATGTACTGTACATGTACATGTACATGTACTGCTACTACATGTACTGTACATGTACTGCTACTACATGTACTGTACATGTACTGCTACTACATGTACTGTACATGTACTGCTACTACATGTACTGTACATGTACTGCTACTACATGTACTGTACATGTACATGTACATGTACTGCTACTACATGTACTGTACATGTACATGTACATGTACTGCTACTACATGTACTGTACATGTACTGCTACTACATGTACTGTACATGTACTGCTAGTACATGTACTGTACATGTACTGCTACTACATGTACTGTACATGTACTGCTACTACATGTACTGTACATGTACTGCTACTACATGTACTGTACATGTACTGCTACTACATGTATGTATGTTTTTTAATATGTGAGCCGCCCTGAGTCCCGTTGGGAGAAGGGCGGGATATAAATCAAATAAAATAAATAATAAATAAATAAATAAATAAATAAATAAATGTACTGTACATGTACTGCTACTACATGTACTGTACATGTACTGCTACTACATGTACTGTACATGTACATGTACTGCTACTACATGTACTGTACATGTACATGTACATGTACTGCTACTACATGTACTGTACATGTACTGCTACTACATGTACTGTACATGTACATGTACATGTACTGCTACTACATGTACATGTACATGTACTGCTACTACATGTACTGTAGCTACTGCTACTGCATGCAAGAACATCTTTTAATTGTGAATTAAGTTATCCATATTAATAACTAGTTATATCTCTCACCTTTCCTTAACAAGTGCTGTATGTATGTGTTATATGTGTGTGTGAGATATGCATTTCTAAAGACTATACACAATGCATTTGACTAAGTGGACTACATGGGGAAATTAATGTGATAAAATATTAGTATTTAAGGAACAGAAGACTCTTTGATCACAATAATTGTGTATAAAGTGAGGATAGTAGAAGAAAAAGTGGGTAGTGAGGATCAAAGAAGAAATTACTAGAAGGTTCTCAGAAGAGCGGTAAAGTATAACTAAAGGAGAATTGAGTATTTGTCCATATAATCAACAAGACTAAAATTTGACTTGATGCCTTCTATCTAATTTTTGTACAGGTGGTCCTTTTTTAGCGATTGCTTAGTTTAGCAACTGCCTTGTTTAGCAACTGTTTGCAGTTATGAAGCTGATGAAAGAGTAACTTTATGACCAATCCTTAGATTTATGACCTTTGTAGGCCTGTAAAGCAAAGCAAAGCAAAGCAAAGCTGAAGTAAGATCATAAGCATGGTTGTGGTGTCA